CTGTATGCTTCAGAAATGATGCCTATTAGTGGTAAGCTCTATCAACATTTTATACAGGCCCTCATGTTTTTCCAATATGTTTCAGAGATTTCTACGTCAGATATAAAGGGACTTCTGATAAAAAAAAATGCAAAAAATTGGTGATGCTTTTAGTAATAATGGAAGAATTTTGCCTGCCAAAATATGAGATTCCAATACAACTCTGAATTTGGTTTTTGAGCAAGAAAACCATCTTTTTAAGTTATTCCAAATTATAGTTTTGTTGCATTCATAGAAAAAAATGGCCTGTTGTTTCTATGTGCATTTCATAAAATGAGCATCTGTTATCATCATTGTTGAAAATAATTCTTATTCTTTGGAGATGTTTTAATATTTTAAAGTGTGTTTCCTTAGCTTTTGGTTGTATAGGAAGTTTCAGATAGAAGCTTCTTAAATGTTTAATAGCTATTTTTTTCATAATTGTAAGGTGTGTTATTTTTATCTTAACAGGGAATAGAGGCTTGTTTAAATATTTCCTTATCTTAGGGTTAATTCATATTTTTGTCTATGAGTGAAATCCCATTAACAGCTAGAGTGGCTAATTGAGGGTTTATGGAGTGATAAGCTATTAAATGTTGAGTTTGATTAATGAATTGTGTTGGTAATGCTTTAACTAATCTAGTTAATTCAGTTTTAGGGGGTAAAAATTATACTTCCTGCAAAATTGTCCCTATTTAATTTCAATTCAAATCAGTTTATTTATATAGCGCCAATTCACAACACGTCAACTTAATGCACTTTACAGTTCACCAGATCATAGAGTCAAATTGATTCAAAGTTTTCTATCTAAGGAAAACCAGTTGATTGCATTGACTCATTAACTCGAATGCAATCCCTCTCACTAAGCATGCTTGTAGCGACAGTGGAGAGGAAAAACTCCCTTAAACAGGAAGAAACCTCCAGCAGAACCAGGCTCAGTGTGAGCGGCCATCTGCAGAGGACGACTGGGGTTCAAGGAGACAGAAGCGGTAAACACGTATACAACAGATCTTTTTTTTTTTTTCCCCATCCAATTCTATGGAAAGGTTTATTGTGATAGATTATGAATCTGTTTTTACATATTATAAAGTGAGGAGAATAGTTATGTATAAAGAGCATTTTTTAGTATAATAATAGGTGTTTATGAAACTGATCATTTAATGGGGATTTAATCTGCATTAAAATCAGCTAGCAGTCAAAGTTTAAGACAATTTTGTTGAAGAGGTAATTGGGGATAAAATACCAAAATAATAAAGTTTTTTATTCTGGATTTTAGCCATTTAACTGTAAAACTACAGTCAGCATCAATTATCTTCAGATCAACCTTCTCTAATTTATTTTACTATGTGATCTTTTTTTTAGGTAGTTCCGTAAACGGACACACTTTTTTCGCATCATACGAATCACCTGATCAGGGAGTGAAGCTTACCGCCTCATAAAAAGACGAGGAAGACTTAAGGTCATTGGAGGAAGATGGCGTCCTCTAGTGTCTAGAGTCATTAATGAAATATGGATACATTTCATGTATTTACATCTCCCTCAAAATCTCATGCAGATGAAAAGACAAAAGTGCTGGCAAATGCCTTTTTATAGATTTTTTTTTTTATCTCGTCTAATGCTTTCCTGTAATTATGCCTTATACTGTTTAATGTTGCCTCTTTATTTTTTGTTTTTCTTTTCCATGATAAAAACCTTAACAGAAGGTTTGATTTATGGTTTGTATCTGTACCTTTTGATATGTATAAAGTTTCCCCCTGCTATGTTGTTTTCAAGCATTGTATCATGAATAAACATATCTACCTTTAATTTTAGTTTATTTAATGGAATTACAGTTATTAAACCCTAATGGTGCTGCAAGCATCATTCTATATAGATGTTTTTATACTATGCTGTTGGGTCTATTTCTTATTTTAAACATGTAAGAATAACTTCAATAGGTCTTTTTTTATAAATTTCGCCACAAAATTGAACTCTACAGTCGTAAGTGTAGCGAATATATTTAGCATGTGTTGCAAAGTGTGACCTTTTAATATAAAACCACACAAATAAAGATTTTCTTTTATCAAAATCCTTTATGTAGTTCAGTTTTCTTCCAACACAATCATCCAAACACATTTTACAAAAGGAAAGTCTGGTTGTCCTCTTTTCTTAGCCAACCCCCACGATTAAATCCTTTTAGCAGGCACATATCTATATTCCAATTATAATATTTATATCTTTATTTATGTACACATCATCTCTCATTACAAAAGTCCCAACTATAATCCCTTAAGAAGGATAAACAGAGCTACGTAAAATCGGTAGGCTAAAAAAAAACAAAGAAAATCCAAATTTAAAAAAACATTCAAAACAAAAGTTAACTTCCACATTCATTGTTTTAATAATTGCAACATTACTTAAATAAAACAAAATATATAAAAGCCTTGTTTGAAATGAGGTTTCGCAAAACATAAACTCATTTTTATTTCCCAGTCACACCTTTGTGCTTGTTGTTACTTTAGCTTTGGGAAAGCATCACAGAAAGATCACTAAGCAGGAGTTAAATGAAGCTAGAGAACGTTCCAGAGCAGCAGAGGCGAAGTAGTGTTGTCCTTAGAGGTCTCTACCCTTTAATAGAAGTGCTTGAGGTGTGATTTTAAAACCTTTTGATTAAATGTGAGCATAAGTAGACACGTCCAGGCGCCCGCATTACGCCTGCTGCTTTGCACATCTGGGCAACAGAAGGAAACATTTAGAGAGAGAGGAAAAAAAAAAAAAGGGGGGGGGGGTGTCAAATTTACGCTAAAAGTGCACTTCAGCCTTCGAAAAGGGGGGAATTAATTACTTTAAAGCCACAGCTGTTTTCTTTTCATCACTCCTTCTTATATACATCATTTATCTGCTGCGTTATAAACATGTTAGACTCCTAAAACTGCAGGTTTTCATTAATGTTCCAGCAGATGGACCTCTGGTATGAGTGGGCGGGGCTAGCCGGTTAATGTGCTTGGCATTGTAACAGGTAATGAAAAAAAAATAAGATATCTAAAAATGAAAGATTAACTGTGTTGAAATAAGAGAATATTGGAAATCTGACGCTGCCTGCTGCTCCAATCAGATAAAGGTTGGAGGTTTTTGCAATTTCTACAACTGACCTATTGGGGGCAGCCATGAGAGCGAACTGCAGCTAGACTGCTCTGAATACTGTTATCAGTAGAAGAAGTGAATGGAAATATTACTGCTGTTATAAAGTGGTTCATAAAATCAGTAACATGACGTGTTTTACGAGGTCGAATCAGCGAGGTACTTTGCTAAAAGGAGCTGCTTCTGTAGCTAGCATGCTAATGGCTGATTATTACACCAACAGACACACTGAGCAAATGATTCAGAAGCATGTTTAAAAAAAAAATGATTTAGTTTTGGTTTGGGGGACCATTTAGTAGGTAATTCCATTTAATTAAATCTTATTTTTCAGATAGCGGTTATACATATTCAAGTTTTCTGGTCATTTTTTTTCTTGCCTCGTTTCAAGTTAAGTTAACTGACTTAAATAAATCCCTATTTTAGCCCTGATCAAACTGAATAAAAGTCTATTTTTTTGGTATGAAACAAAATATGGCGGGTAGAAATCAAGGGATGGAAAACGTTATCAGAGTTTGGCATCATTCGGCTCACACGCGCAACTGACAGAACTTATGGGAGGCGAAGTTCCACAGAGATGAGTTTCAACCACAGGGATTGGTTGAACGTTACCGTCAGCGAAACGCGACGCCGCTAAAATGGATACTGCCAGCAGCCATCTTTAAATCAGCTGCTTTAGAATGACTTAACCAGGATTCAACTGCAGAAACTAAATAGAGGTGAGATGTAGGAGCTTCCGTTTATGATCCCAGGATGAAGAAAAATATGTCAAGGAAAAGACGTCTTATTTGCAGAGCTCCAGCAGCTTAAATGACGGTTATCTATGGGAAATCCTTGTAGTGCGACAGTCTGGAGGTCAGAAGGAGAAAAGGTCTGTCAGTCACTTTAGATTTAAAAACGCCTACTGGATTCAAGTTAAAACTCAGGAGCTGGAAAAAAAAGATTAAATTTTCCTCCACAATGACACCAAACTTGCTGCCAAATGGCACATCACCTCATTCCTTTCTCTTTTTTCAGTTGCCACACCAAGACTCATTACTAGTCTGGATTATCTAAACCAAAAACTGTAGCTTAATAAAAAATAACTTGTTCTGTGCTCCTAAAAGCAGGAGCAGAAAAACAACCAAACAGGAAACCAAGAAAACACTGAAAAAATTAAATTATAGATACTGCAAATCAAATTTTTTTGGTCAGTTTACTTCACTTGTTCATTGATCGTTTTAAAATAAAGTTCATTGTTTTTTTTCTTTTTTGTTCTTTTAAGATAAATAAGGAGCTGTGCTCTTTTTTAGAGATGTATTCCCACCCTTCCAGTGGCTGCCTCTCATCATCTGACTTCAATACTGCTTTGCTGCTAGCACCAAATCCTTTTTATAAACATTGCAAACTACTTCTTAACGCAGTGCTCAACTCACACATTCATTCTCCAACCCTACATTTGATCTCAGAGGGTCTGAGGCGACTTGCCGGACTTCTAACGGTGCTCCCAGCTGCTGCTTGTATTTTCGGAGCTTTTCCACCCGTGTGGGGACACTAATGTAGCGAGTTTCTTCTGTAGCCTTTAATGAAACACGATGGCGTCAGCCTCAGGAGAAGGAGGACAGTCCCCTCACCCGTCCTGGTGCCACAGTGCAAAGCGAGTGTCGGAACGAGGGTTTCTTTGTCTCTTAAGGTGCTTGTTGCAGTGTGGTCTTGAAAGGATTCGAAATCCTGGAGGCTGCGCTTGCAAACCGCATGCGCCTCGACCAGTTTCCCCCAGCGGCGTTCCGCGTCGAAACCTCCGCCTGCAGGGAATAAAGCCCGGATACTTGTGGGAGCGTACTGGAGGCAGCCGGCGGCTGTCCTGCCAGATGGACAGTCTGCCGGGGGGATTTTTATTTTTTTTTTTTTCTTTTCAGTCTCTGGACTGGTAGAACAGGATGTAACCCGACTCAGAGTTCTTGGAGATGTCGGACGTCAGGCCGTAGAACTCCTCTATCGCCTGTGCGTCGATTTTCTGAAAGAGGAGAAAGCAGAGGTTTTGGACTGGGACACGATCGGGGCTTTGAATGGTACATCATGTCCCGATTAAACAAACTGCAGCTGGATTTTATGGCATATTTGTCCAAAGCACTAATGGACTAATTCACCCCCAATCTGTGACTCATATCACTAGAGAACAATTAATCTACTCACAGCTCCTTAGACTCAAACATCATCTGGTTTTCTGCAAATTCTTGGCCGATTATGAGCTTTAACATCAAATTAAGAAACTAAAACATCAAACTAGAGCTCCACGTATTTGTTAGGAGGTAAAACGTGGCAGACTGATGAATATCTGTTCTTTAGGTCTGTTTATCTTTTACACTATAGATCTAAATGATGCTTCTGCGCTGCATGAAAGAGTAGTAGATTAAAAAATTTGGAAATTTAAGAAAAGTTTCGGTTCCAGGTGGAAACGCCCAAGCTTATTTTAAAACCTCGTGCCAGATTTAAAAGAAAAAAAAGGCAAAAGAGACGAGTAAATCTTCCCAAAGCATTAAAATGAGAAGTAGGATTTCTGTTGTGCAAGTTCAGCAGAATCTTCCAGACCAGATGTCTGAGTGGGCCTCCTTCTGTGTAGTGGAAAAATACCGCCGATGCCTGATGGTGGGTTTCAGTCCCTGAGGAGAACGTCTGTGATATTCTGAGAGGAAAGTGTTTGAAAGAAAACGGATCAAGTGAAGCACTGAACTGAATCTGCAGCTTAAATGAGAAGGATTTCACAGTCCCTGCTGTCATTCATTAAGACCAGAAACTGTTCACCTCAAACCAAACAGCAAACCGATGCACTTCAGCTCCTACCGCTGCAAAAACAATCTAAAAATGAGTCAACATTGCTTTAAAAGTGCATTTACCCTTCATTTGAGTAGAATAAATAGGAGGATTTGCCATTGAAATTAGCATTTTTACCCTTAAAAATAAGATAATCAGATAACATGCCCTTAAAATAAGAGACTGCAGTTGTTTATATTACTATAAATGTAAATTGTCTTATTCTATTGGCAAAACGTCTCACCTACCAGCTCAGTTCAAGAAAGAAACTTACTTAGATTTGTATTTTCTGCAGTGTTTATTTCCTTAATTCATCTTTTTTTTTTAATATTATTTCCTGGAACCAGAACACTAAAGAAAACTAGATTCAAACATTTTCTGCTTGACCGGACCCACAGCATCACATCCAAATGTTCAAAGGTTAACCTGAAGTCCAGATTGTGGGTTTATATTAAGGCCATTAGTTAACCAAGACTTAAGAGATCATTGCTAAACATCAGACTCTGAGAAATAAAGAGCTTTACACTGAAAACAACTCATTTTATTTAAAATTAAGTTGATTAAACCTCAGAAGGTTGGTTCTGTTATCTGGCCTGGAAAATCAAATTAAATTGGTATCAGAAAAAACTAAAAGATTAGGTCTAATTATTTGAGGTTCACACATTTTTATTAAAAGATTAAAGAAAATTACATGTTGGAATGCATATTTCAGCTTTAACTGCAGCAATAAACCTATTTAAAGTGATAAAGAGAGAGTGCTGCCTAAATTCACAGTAAGAAAAATAATATGTGGTTTAAAACAATAGTTAATCAATTAAAAAACACTGACATGTATTGAAAGTCAACCCTGTTTAACCCTAACCTGACAACAGCCAGATGCATGTCTCGCTCCGCCTAGCTCCACTCAGATACATCTGGGAACCCGCTCATTAAAAAGTGATTTCCCCAACCAAATTTATGGTGTATCCAATCAGGACGCAGGGTGGGTGTGTCCTGGAGTGGAGAAGCGACCGAGAGATTCCAACAACAATGGCGGCTCGCATCGAGGAAGCAAGCGTTAGCATTGATGCTGCTATTTCTTCTGTGTTGTCCAATCTATCTGATATTGTTTAATTAAAAGAACATCAGAGAACGGCTTTGAAGGCTTTTGTTGGTGGAAACGATGTTTTCGCCCTTCTCCCGACCGGATTTGGCAAGAGCTTGATCTACCAAATGGCTCCTCCTCTCACAGCGTCACGGGTTAGCTTCGGTGTGAGTGGTTGAAATAGCACGTCGATAAAGATGACAGACAAGTGGCTTATCCAATCATATGCAAGGAGTTTTGATAAGGCCCAGTAAGGCTGTTGTCAGGTTAGTTTAACCCAGCCTTAATAAAAACCAATCCCACCATTACTTTAAAACACCGTTACCTAAACATTTCCATTCCAGTGGTGATCAAATCTATACTGGCTTATCAGAGAAAACACCAATTAAAACAGTGTTGATAATATGACAAAATATTGAGGGGAATAAATATTTTTCCAAGGCAGTTTACATTAGGAAAAAATGGCTGGCTGAAAGGAGTTAAAGTAATTCTAGTCCCTATAATGACATTAAAATAAATAAAAAAAGGATTTGTTTCAATAAAACAAATATGCCTCTAAGATGGACAAAAAAGAAAAAAAAAAAAAAAAGAAAAAAATCAAGATCCTATTTTTTTCTCCAATCTACAACGAGCCAAATCAAGTTCACCCTGACCAGGAAACTCTCTGTAGCATCATCACTGATGATTTCATTACAAAGTAAAAGCACAGAGCAGGAAAGCAAGTAAAACGCCACCGGCCATTAATTCGTCTAATATTTCCTCCTGTATGCAGTGAATCTGTTTGGCCTCTTAATCTTATGACCATCATGATAACTTCAGTCATTACACACAGGAAAAGAAACTTAGCTTTAACAGCTGCTTTGCCATGTGTGCCTTTAGTTTTTACTGGCCTGTTAGTCATTGATTCATTTTATAATCTGTTATAATCTATTGGAGATTATATCCACCACTGATTTGGTGAACATGTAACCAAATATTGATTGTATTTTATTACATGTTATTCATTAGAGCAAAACACCTAGTCTATGATGTTTTTCACTTGTCACGTTGTTTTTTTTCAATATCGGTTTTTGCTCTTTATTATTCTTCTTAAACATTTTTAAACCACGTATTTTTTTTTTTTACTTTATATAGTGCCGCATTTCTAAATGCCACAAAATATCAGATAATGAAAGACTTCCTCTTCTACAAAAAAAAATGTTTATTATTTTGTATCGTTTATTTAAAGAATTACAGATTTAAAAATAACAGAGCATCTGATCAAACTCTGGCATTTGGTAGGCTGGTTTAGAGTTTGAACAGCAGGGGGCGTCTCTCTTACCTCCACAATGTCGTCATCAAACAGCAGCCAGAAGCCGTGGCTCTTGACGATAGTGATGTAGTGTCCACGGTTGGGACCGCTGCAGAGCAGGGAAAGAGGAAGACAGACGGCGTGTGAAAAACATCCGTCAAACAGATTTAATACGCAGTTCGTTTCTTTCTGATGGAAAACAAGTTAAGAGAGAAATGAAACGACATCCCCAGCTGCAATTATGACAACAAATTTATGGGATAGGGGTGGGCGATATGGCAAAAAATTGTATGATATCTTATTATAAAAATCATAATTTCGTTTTTTATCAAAATCTTGTGTGTATATTTGAGAGTACTTTCCTCGTCTAACCAAACGGTTTCTGCTCCTATTGTATAAGGTCATTTTAAACCCACACGTCCACTTATATAGTAGCACTTTATGGTTGCCAAACAAGTGATTAAGGTTTCTGTCTTGGCACTGAAGAGTTTAGTGTAGGGATGCAGGATATTGGGATTTTGGCCGATATCCGATATTTTAAAACTCATGTAGCCGATAACCGATACCGATGTTAAAGCAGGACAAAATAAGTAGTCATTGAAAATAGCAGTTTTATTATCCATTTCTGACACTTTGAAAAATAATATACTCAAATATATTTTCATATGCTGATATCAAATTGATTTTTAAAAACGCGGTATCGATCTATTTTACTTTCTAAATCTCGTGAAATTTCATCGTTCTGTTACAAAGTCTCGTGATATTTTGCAAATTCTTGTGAGATTTTGTCAGTAAAATAGATCGATACCGCGTCAATATATCAACATATTAAAATATGGCAACATTTCGGGAATTTTCGGGGGATTTCGTAGCATAATGATGACATATGGCAATATTTCATTAGTAAAAGAGATTGATATGGTGTTTTTAAATGGCAATATATCAGCATATGAAGATATTGTGATATTTTAATGTGTCAATATTTTTTCCCTCGTCTTTAGAAGTTTTTAAGTCTGTAAAAAAGAAGTTTTTGAGGAAGAAGAGAAGAAGTACATTTTTTTTTTTAGACTTTAGAAACTCAGAAGCTGATCCAATATCGGGTCAAATATCGGTGGGGTGGCCGATGTCCGATATTCAGTTTTAAGGCCGATACCGATAGGGGGCCAATTATATCGTGCATCCCTAGTTTAGTGTGGTTTTAAATAACTAAAAAGAAACACATATTTTGGGTTATAGAGTGATATGTAGGGCCCTATAATTTCCGCGATCACGGAATCGCGGACGGAATTGCGGAATTGTCAAATTAACGCGGAATTTCTACATTTGACATGAAATTCTGTTTTTGTTTGGGAGAAATAATATAGAGGGGAAATGCACACCAGGGGATGCAAATCTGGGCGACACGACCCCTCCCGCTCCGTCATTTCCGCTCCCCATCAAAACATTGAAAAAACGGCGAAGCGGCTCTCCACAGCTCCGCTTTCGACAAAAAAGTTGAGAAATGCTTACATACTTGCTGTATTTTGCGTTGCTTTTATGTACTTATGTACTGTATGGAAAATCTGATTCTTTATGAAATACTTTATAATTCTGAAATTGAGAGGTCCTATTTTATTTTTTTACTTGAAAAAGCTAATGGAGACTTTTATTTATAACCATTGGTTCATAACCCTTAATATGTTGTTAGTACTTAGAGTGCATTGTTATGTTGCATCATGCAGTAAAAGTACTGAGTAAATGGTTTTTTTTACCTCAATAAATTGAAGATCATTCCTATTTTATTTGTGTACATTTTAATCATTAACATTAAAAGCACAACATTTTTTACGACTGAAATGACAGTAAAGGGTAAAAAAACTGAATTCGCAAAAATTACAACGGAAAAAACTGAATTTTCAAAAATTAAAACGGATTTTATAGGGCCCTAGATATGGGACTTGTCAACTGATGCGTCAAAGATTTAAAGCTTTCCAGTTGCAAGATATGGCTGATAGCCTCATCAGATTCTAGCAGGAAGCAAATATAGTACTCCAATACTTAATTCCACCTTAAAAAGAGTGGGAGGGGAATGAAAGTTGTAGGGAAATTGCTGTTCCAACGGTTGCATTTCCGAATTCTCCCGAGTGGTGCCCAACTTTACAAGAGTGAATAAAGTGAATGTGATTGGTCGTTTATCAAGAGGGCGGGATTGCTGTGGCGGAAGGTTCGCAAGCAAGTTTGGTTGTGGCCGGTTTGTCGGAAGCATCTTTCTAACCAGTTAGCAACTTAGTGCTCCTGATCTAAAGCCCACCTGCCACAGTGTACCACCACGGCGACCAGGTCATACATCCGGTCGGGGTTGGTGGCGTCCCCAGACGTATTGAAAAGCCGAAGCTCCAGAGGGAAGACGACCCGATAGGACAGCTTGGTGTAGCGGTGCAGCTGGTCCATGTACTTGAATCTCTTCAGGTGGAGGGCGAGGATCATCGGCAGCTTTTTTACCCTCATCCTGGGGAAAAGGGAAGCAATATATAAAACAAAAACAATGACACATTCCTGCTGTCTAAGTACTTGTGATTTTGCATGCTTTATTAAAAAAAACAAGGACAAAAAAAGAGAAAAAGGCAGACAAATGTGTTTTGAATAAAAGCATAAAGAAGAACCTAAAACCTCTGATCTACTCAAGGCTAAACCTTTCAGAACCAACCATTACGAAGCATCACAGTTCCAGAACAACCAGAGGTAAGCAGCCCCACCCCGCCCATTTATTCAGCTGCGCCACAAATACTCTTCCTCTCATGCAAAGTGCAGTCTCTGCCGATAATAATGGACGTCACTTGGTGCACTTAGCAGGTTCTCAGGTAAAAAAATACATGCAGGAGCATTTCAGAAGATGAACTAAACAGTTTGTAAACCGCAGAAAGCTAAAAATGTCTCATAAAGGGAAGTCAGTGGAGCAGCTCAGATAAAACTGCGTCCGACAGGCGAATAAGTTCTCAGAATGTAACAGGAAGGGCCTGACCTGCTGCTATGGTGATGCTAAGATGTGGTTGCAGTGGTGATCTCTAATGGAACAAAGTATAAACACATATGTTCTCTGCAGAATGGGCTCGTGCTACAGACTAGAGAGAAACAGCAGCTCTGCAGGAGCTCAGAAAGATCACATGACATCCTTCTTTTTATAAACGTGAGATTATGCTGCATTTATTACTTTAGGTTTTACATTTTTTTATCATTATTAAGCTGCAGGTATAAAACAAGAAGTCAATATAGGACAAAACTTCTCTTTATCTAAAATAAGATTGAGGTTTTACTCAGATCCAAAAGAAAAAATGCCACTAGATGCATTTGTCCATGTATGAATGTGAGAAACAAAAATGATGATGTCACCTACCTTTTCTGGGCTTCCTGCTTGCTGCGGCATTGCTCACAGTAGTATTTATACTCGCTGCATAACGTCTCTGTGTTGCTGAAGCCCCTGTTGAGTTCAAACACAGAAATATACATTTTAAATTAAGTTTTGTTGCAGGATTAATCGGTTTTGGTCAGGTTTAGTGGATAAAAAGCAAGATAACCTGAGACAGTGCGTGATTGAAGTGTTCTGCTCCACGTCCACCGATAGATCCAGGAAGTCTTCGTCTTTACTGCTCACCTGCAACATATTGTGGGGAAGCAGAGGACGGGCGACTTTGGTCAAACGTTCGTCCTCCTTTGTACAACGTGGAATTCTTTATGCGAAGAAGTGGCGCCACTCACGGCTTCGCAGTTGAGGCAGCGCGTCTCGTTGGTCAGCGTTCCCTGGAAGATCTCGTGGACCCAAGTCTGCTGCGTCTCCTTTCCACCCTCGCTTTCTCCTCCCTCTCCTCCTCCTGTTCCTCCTCCGCTCCCGTTCTGCACCAGTTTTCCGTTCTGCTGGCGCTCCTGGCCCTTCTCCTCCTGGAGGAGGTCTGCGATAGTGTTGAGGAGGTAGTTGAGGAACTCGTGGGCGTCCTGCTGCATGTAGTTGTCGAACAACTCTGAGAGGGAGAGATGTGAACACCACATCTATATCTGCAATAACTTGTGCAATAACAAATGTCCAATCACCCTTAAATACGCTGTGCAATAATACTGTTAAACAAGAGACTTCACCATTGTTTATATATATATATATATATATATATATATATATATATATATATATATATATATATATATATATATATATATATATATATATAAACTGAAGGCATCAAAACTATGAATTAACACGTGGAATTGTATACTTAACAAAAAAGTGTGAAACAACCGAAAATATGTCATGTGTTAATTCACAACTTTGATGCCTTCAGTGTGAATCTACAATTTTCACTGTCATTAAATTTAAGAAACGCTTTGAATAAGGTGTGTCCAAACTTTTGGTCTGTACTAGAAATCTTAGAAATGAAGGCTATTCCATGCAAGAAATTGCTAAAAAAATTTAACATTTCCTATAACGGTGTGAACTACTCCCTTCAAAGGACAGCACAAAGAGGCTACTGCGGGTACTATTTAATGAAGATGCCAGTTGGGGACCTGTGAGGCTTCTGTTTCTCAAACTAGATAATCTAATGTACTTATCTTCTTGCTCAGTTGTACAACGCGGCTTCCCACTTCTTTTTCTACTCTGGTTAGAGCCTGTTTGTGCTGTCCTCTGAAGGGAGTAGTACACACTGTTGTAGGAAATCTTCAATTTCTTAGCAATTTTTTGCATGGAATAGCCTTCATTTCTAAGAACAAGAATAGACTGTCGAGTTTCAGATTAAAGTTCTCTTTTTCTGGCCATTTTGAGCGTTTAATTGACCCTACAAATGTGATGCTCCGTAAACTCAATCTGCTCAAAGGAAGGTCAGTTTTGTAGCTTCTGTAACGAGCTAAACTGTTTTCAGATGTGGGATCATGATTGCACAAGGGTTTTCTAATCATCAATTAGCCTTCTAAGCCAATGAGCAAAAACATTGTACCATTAGAACACTGGAGTGATAGTTGCTGGAAATGGACCTCTATACAACTATGTAGATATTGCACCAAAAACCAGACATTTGCCCCTAGAATAGTCATTTACCACATTAGCAATGTATAGAGTGTATTTCTTTAAAGTTAAGACTAGTTTAAAGCTATCTTCATTGAAAAGTACAGTGCTTTTCCTTCAAAAATAAGGACATTTCAATGTGACCCCGAACTTTTGAACGGTAGTGTGTGTATATGTATATATATATATATATATATATGTATATATATATATATATATATATATATATATATATATATATATATATATATATATATATATATATATATATATATATATATATATATTCCTCCTTTTGCACCTTCTTTTTGACCATTGACCTGGACTGCCAAGTGAATTTCTCCACTGTGAGATCAATAAAGTCAATCAATCAATCTGATTTTTATCTGCTTTTACAGAATTGTTAGTAAGAGCTTAAAGAACTTTAATCCAAAATGAGGTTTAGGAGACAGACTGATGACATCCGTGGGTTATTGGCAAAGCGTCTCATTCCTTTCATTTGCCTCCTTCTCCATAATTAAACGGACAATATTACTTCCTCAGCTGGGGGATTAACTTCTCAGCTGATATCCGTCTCCTCATCTCCATCCTTTCTAAGCTGTTTGCTTCCATGAACTCCTCTGCCATGAAAGGAAGTTTCTTTCAATGACTTCATATCTTTGTTCTAAAGACTTGGTGCTGTGCTAAATGCCTCCCACTGAGACTACAGGAAGCCCAGCACTCCGACATCAGCTGAACATTGCAGATCTGCTACATAAATATTCAACTCAAAATGAAAGGAAATAATTATTCTCCATCTCCTGCCCCCCTACCGTTTTCCTTCCTTAGCCGGGAAATAAATTTCTTGGGAGGGATGACGCCGACTTTCTTCTTCTGGGTGGCGATGCTGTTGAAGAGGTCCGCCAGGCAGGTGAGGAGGGACTCCTTCCGCCGAGGCTGCACCTGAAACCATCAGCAGGAGTTAACATCCTACAATTATGGTTTTAACAAACGAGAACTCTGTTCTTCAGGATAGCTTCTGTGTTTCTTGTTTTTAGGTAATTTGTACCTCAGCGAGGCTTGTCAGGTTTAAAGCATCATTAATGCACTTAGAGCCCTCTCCATTTTCCACTTATGAATGAAAAAAAAAACTTTAATAATGAATATTTAAATGCTGAACAATTTGACCCTTTTCTAACATCCCAGCTGCAGGAATGTTACTGTCAGTGTTTTCTGTTCTTTAAAATTATTGTTTCATCTCATATTTCTATATATCAAATGGCCTTTTCCACATTAAAATGATCAGAATACAATTATTGATCACTTAACATACAGTTATGTGGACAGATGTTTACTCAATACACTTTATAAAACATTTTTTCTAATTTAATGCTTTTAATCACTGTCTAAACCAGCTTAATCTTGACTCAGCAGAGACTAATTTTCAACTTAAACAAACCCTTTTTCTAGGTAGACTATGAGAAAATTGTTTAATGTTAAATATTGCTTTAATATATATTCTGTTAATTAGGTTGGTTTACCCCGTATAAACGGCTTATGGTTGGTTTGAATAATCTAAAGCCTGATGCCTTCATGCTGAATCCAAAATCAGGTCAGGAACCAAACTGCTGACCAGCATCCCATCTCCTCTCCTTCAGCCGTCTAGATCTACGCTTTCACACTCCAGGCCAGGAGGTGGCAATAATGCAGACGTGTAAATTATCTTTTACTAGGGCTAAAATTACCAGTTTTATCCTGATACAATCGCCGCTTCTCAATTCACAAGAACGTGAGTACGGACTTGTGGCCTTGCCAATTATGGTCTATATAAGAACACAAGAAAGTATGGACTTTGGATGATCGGGGGAACGCAGAATAAATATGGCTCAATTGGAACAGAAGCGTACTCATGACGTCACCACACGCTCAGCTCGTCTGGAGCTGCATTTCACCTCCTGTTATTAATAGTATCTAGATAATAATAAAGTCTTTTTTTTCATTTAGTGGGGAAATGATAATTAACACAGTCAGATAAACATGACCATTTTGCCAAAAAACAACAAAAATAAATAAATAAATAAAAAAAAAAAAGAAAAAAAAAAAAAATCGCCATCAGAGCCAGCGTTGCTTCACACACGGCTATGCTGAGAGAGGGCTGCCGCAGACGGGCTAACATTAGCCCTGGCTGAGGTTAGTCTCGGAGCTCCGCTGGTTGCCATGGTCTTCTCAACATCGGAATATTATTTTTTTTTTTATTACGCACTAAATCAGTACATGGACCATATAGTGATGCTTTAAAGTATAATATTCTCCCCTCAAATGATCTTAAAAACGTACTTTTGTAGAACAACAGAAAAGAAAACATAACTTATGGGAGGAGCGAGAACAACATCTGCGGACTTTGTCTGCTTATGTACTTGTGAATTGGAAAAGTAGTAGAGCTAAGGCTGATGACGTTTCACAAGCACACGAGAACGCACAAGTACGAATATTGAGAAACAGCCATTATCTTATTGATTAGTTTGGATGGCAGCACTATGTTTGGCGACATTATAAGCCTGTCACAACAATATCAATAACGCAGCTATAGTCCAGCTCACAGCCTTTGGGCTACATGTAGTTTTTAAATACTCATATTGGGCGTGCAGGTGGCGCAGTGGTTAGCGTGCATGACCTATGTACAGAGGCCCTAGTCCTCGACGCAGGCGACCCAGGTTTGAAGGCTTCCTGTGGTCCTTTGCCACATGTCTCTCTCATACCCCTTTCCTGTGAGCCTACTATTGAATAAAGAGCCACTAGTGCCAAAAAAATATATATAACGTTTTTAGCATCCTCTGGGGAAGCTAACACTAAAGTCAGCGAAAGATCACTTTACAAATCCAAGTCATTTCGACTGATTCTCTTGCTGCAACAATTTTTTATTTAGAAATAAAATAAACCCATGCCGTCTTCGGGATATGGCCATCTAGAACTATCGACTGCCTCAACCATTAAGAGAGCAAATATGTGCATTTGCACTTATTAATAATTCAAAATAAAATAAAAAATAGATTAAACTCACATTAAACTCCTACTTTAGTCTGCTGTGTTTTTTTTTCCTTTCACATCATCAATTTCTGATTAAAAACAATCAAACAGAAGAGCTGTGCTAGTTTATAACAGGTGGTAAATTTCCCATTCATTCCTCAAACCCTTCCTCTTTAAAAATAGCTTTATTTGAAGCAAAGCACGCCTCTTGTCCAGCATATCAGCTGCATAGTTTCTGTATCTCCTGCTGGTATTTTGACAGCTGTTTTAAGGACTCCATATTAAACCTTCTGACATCAAGGATTCCCAGATGCTAGCTAACAAGTTTGAGGTGATCCCTCCTAGTTTCCTATTCAACACTCACCTTATAAGCCAGGACCTTCTCTCTGAACGGTCGGCAGAAATATAGAGCCTGAAGCACAGAGTTACAATAGCAGGTGTTTCCAAACTAGTCGAGAGGAAAACAAACAATGGAGACAGAAAATACGGGTTTTATAAGCATCCATTCCACCCAAATGAAGCACAGCTGTCGCTGCATGAACATGTGATAGTTAATATAAAGCCTGCTGTGTTTGTGGTGAGCCGACTTCAGACACACTTACATTGACTAATCCAAAGTAGTGTTCATTAACAGGAAACTGTTCTGGTCCGATCTCCTTTTCCAAGGCAGAGGCATTGGCGCCCTGGAGAGAAAAAGAAACAAACAAAGAATTAATGTTTTACTGAGTTGTTTTTTGTTTGTTTTTTATCACAGGACAAAGGAACAACCAAAGACAGGATGATGCTGGAACCACAGAACAATTCTTTCATTGCAGGTGTTTTCTCTTTTTTTTAACTCATTTTATTTCTTCATTATGTGCACATTTAAAATAATTTCAGGATGAATAAACACAATTATGATTAAATATACTGTTTTGAGAGCATTTTAAATAAGATTGATCCCAATAAAAGGCAAAAAACGCGTTAAATCCTGCAACAACATTATATCTATCATTCATTTGCATCGAAGAACATGGTGAAAACATTTAGGCTACATTCACACAGCAGCCTGAAGTGACCCAAATCCAATTTATTTGCCCTTAAGCGACTTGTATCTGATCTTTTTGTTCTGAACAACTCAGATCTGATTTTTCCCAATGCGACCCAGGCCACTTTGCTACGTGGTTCTGAATCCGATACGAATCTTTATCTTTTTAAATGCGACCTGTGTCTGAACAGCCAGGTCACATTCATCCGACCTGAATGCCATTAATACCTGACATAAGTCATTATTCTGTGTCTTGCTACGCAGAAGGAGAAAAACAACAACCAAGACGGATGAGGATTAGGGGTGGGTATTGCCAAAGAAGTCACGATTCGATTCGAATCACGATTCACAGGCCACGATTCGATTCTATCACGATGCATCACGATACTTGAATTATTGCGATGCATTGCAATATTTTCTCCTCCATGTTTTGTTTTTGAATGACTCGGCACAGTACCCCACGGCCGGAAATGCTTGTGACACAAGGCAGCGTGCGTCAACACATTTGCAGCGACATCTACTGGACTAGAAGTGGTATTGCACTTGTTTTTGGCTGATGTTCGCCAACCATTAGTGCAATTTTATTTATTAATTTTTTTAAATTAATAATCGATTCTTGGCATCAAGAATCGATGCAGTAGATCACGAAAATTAGAATCATGATGCATCATCATCACGATTATTTTGCACACCCCTAATGAGGATGCGGAGAGTAGATTTTATATTGAAAAGATTTGGGTTTTTAAGGTTTGGAAAGATCACTAGATACGCTCCGGCAATACCATCCATGTTTAATTCCATAAACACATCACGCGCTGGCTTGTGACATCATTGCGTCCTCTACTGTGCATGCGGGACACTTGCGTTGTATGAATGCAGTTCATACAGAAGATCACATACAAGTCGCATTTATTTGGAAATCGAAACGGCAATGCAAAAAAAAAAAAATATTGGATTTCACAAAAAAAAAAAAAAAAATCGGAATTGAGCATTAAGGCTTCAAACAAGATCTGCAACATTCAGTCCCACCCAGAGTATTAGATAAGAAGCTGTCTGGTTTTGTGGTTCAGTGGAAGTTTTCTACACACATCAATTTCAAACGGATGGTATCGGTATGGTATGGTATCGGCCAATTTTTACAGCCAAGTATCGGCAGGGATGGGAATTGAAAGCCAGTTCCTGTTCAGAACCGGTTTCGTGTTCCAATTCCATGGCACCGTTTGGCAGCTCGCTTAATGGTTTCTTAATGGTTCCAGGCAGCAGCAGAGCCTAGCGCTGGGCAGCACAACTTATCTCACGTTTTTTACACAAGTTACGCATACAACATTCAGTAAACAAGCATGACGTGACCAGGTGTAAGTCTAGTAAAGAAAAAGAAAAAACGGCGTCCCATCAGGTAAAGCGACCAAAAGTTTGGCTTCATTTTAAGGAAGAGAAAGATGGCAACAAGGCGCTTTTGCAATCATTGCAAAGTGGCAATTACATCCGCGGGAGGAAATATATCCAACATGCAGAAACACCTGCGCAAACAACATGGCATACATTTTAATGAATGCCGTGTTTTTGATGCCTTCTGGACAGAAGCTAAAGTTACGACAAGCATTGAAGACAACTCCGGTGGTAAATAGCTAGTTTTATATCACTGGGGTTATTAAACATGCTAGAAGTTGCGCCGCAGTTCAGGGAGCGAGAGAAAGGTGATGCTTGTTTATTTAAATCAGGGGGAGATGAGTTTATTTTCCAAAATTGTACAGCTATGCTTTTTCATTAAACAAATGTCTCCTCCATTAGATTTAGATGACTGTGAGGAGACGGGTAGCCTGGCTGGCTCAGAGGCTGGCAGCTCGCGTTCACTGCCTTCTGTTTTCACCGAGGCAGGCAGAAATAGAATGTCCCAGGCGAAAGTTCATTGTTAACAGAATCGATAATTAATCGAATCATTTCACAGAATCGATAAGGGAATCGGAATCGTGAAAATCTTATCAATTCCCAACACATGGCATTGGGGCCAAAAATGGCATCAGCGCAACCCTTATTTATAATACGGCCTCAGGGATGCTTCAAAGGCAGGAAGTCAAAACTTCATTTTAAAAATTCTGATTTAACATGCTGCTACATCTTTATTAACTGTTCTTTGGCGCTCATGGTGTCCATAAGCTTTCTAAGGATGTATAACATGTCTATATTGGTAAAAGTTTAACCGGTGTTATCTTCAAACGTACTGCTGTGTTTAATGTAAATATGCACAACGGAGCACCGGCGATCGAGTGCATGTTGAAAGGTTATAATAAGTAGGGAAAAAATATATAAATAAAAAAAAAAAAAATCGTAAAAGAAATTGTCTTTGAATTAAAAAATTAAAAAACAAAATGGAGATTTTATTTTAAGACCATATCGCCCAGCCATACCTTAACATCCATAAAAAGAAATCAACAAAACGCAAACGTCAAGATACACAAAAGCAAAAAAACTGACATTTAAGGGGAAGATGAAAAAAAAAAAGATTAAAAAGGTTGGTTAAAAAAATGAGCTGAAAAACGCACCAAGACATTAATCATTAACACCGTCAATGCTGGTTTGAAGTGACAGATTGGCAATGAGTCACTAAACGTAAAAGGTTAGAAATGAAAATGAGCAGAAGCATCAAACCCACAGAGCTTCACATTTAAAGGTTTCTTTAAGGACATTTAAGGACATAAGTGGTTCATAAACCACAATGTTTAAAATGTGCACTGAACACCTTAAACTGTTTTAACACTTTTACTGACGACAGAATGCCGTTTCACTACCAGCAAACTGGTTATTCTCTAAGGACATCCCATAGGCCTTCGACAGGCTGCTCAGCCGTGTTTAAAACCGTCTCAAGTGTGAGAAAAACAGAAGCACCCACAGCAGATGAACCCTTCCTGTGGTAGGACTCTTTCTTTTACTTTTAAAACATTAACCAAGATAAAAGTTTGTTGATCTTTTTTAAATCACTCTCAAAGCTGCACTAAACTGATGAAATTCACAAGGATGCTTTATTGCACACTGCAGGACAGTGGGCTGAAAAAAAAAAAAAAAAACTCCTACCTGTTCCCTTCAACTACAGTACGGAAAAATCCGCCTTTTAAGACGTTTTTCATGGGCGGCCATGACTTGGAAAGCTAATGAAGTGCCGCCTATCATAATAAGTGGAGAGCTCATATCAGCCTGTTGAAAAAGAACAGACAATTTACTATAAATCTATTAATAAATCATAAAATCTTATACATATCAACACATCAATATTTAATTTAATATGTGCTTTAAATCAAAAAAGACATTCTTTTTGGACAATATTGTGCTGTTTATTTAGTTCCATTTGCAACAGTGTGACACAAGCATAACATGCTTATTTTGGGACGTTAATTAATCATACTATCTGCTTAAAAGGCCAGCCTGCAGTCAGCAGCTTAACACAGAGGACACACATAGAATACCTGTGGTTATCTTTACTACTTTTCTATTTTCTTGCTTAAAACAAATAGAAATTATGTTGTTTGGAAATTATTCTCCCTGTTCAAAAAAGGATATTGAGTTGTTGCTATAAACTGTTTATTCTGGCATGCAGGCTATGCTTTAAAACCAGAGTTGGACAACCTAGATCAGCTCATCTTTCAGATAAGAGCATCTGCGGGTGGTTAAGTTAGCAGATAGCACCACTAACTAACCTGATCAAATCCACTTACAATAGCTTTATTGGTTGAATTTGTGAAGCCTAGTAAGTAATTTGGAAGTCCTAACATTTCCAAATTTAAAAAAATTGTAGAAATGGTATAGATATTATTATAAAATTATGAATATGTTATACTGATTTAGAGCAGAAAAGATTAATCTGATTAATCAGCATAATTAGTTACTGAGATAATGGTCAACTTATTTAGTAATCGATTAATCTAAAGAGACTCTAAAACATGCCTTTAGCTCACAGAGCAACCCACTTAGAGCAGTTATTCTATCAAGATTGTGAAATAATATGAAATATTTTGCATTAAAGATAAAAAAAAAAGTTTTTATCTGTCAATATGTCATACCAAGAACTTCTAGAGGTAGAGTTTTAGTTTCACCCACTTAAATTCTGTAAAAACCTTTTAATACCTGATTATTCATTGAATGAACAAAAATAAAAAATCCAACAGATTATTGCAAAATAATCTTTAGTTGCAGCCCTTTACTGAATAAGTCCTCTTTTAAATCCAAAGGTTGTCATGATATGTAAATATAAAACTCTGGAAAATATTCGATACTCAATACATTTGATTAAGAAATACCAAATAATTAAAGGCATAAAAAACATTTTACAAGAAAAACTCTGCTTTGTTTAAATCTCTTAACTAAACATGCTTTCCCCACAGAATCAGATTGTAGTTAAACAGTGTGCAAATAAATGTAAACAAATAGCCCACATATAACACAATTTGGTAACATTTTAAAGTGGTTTGACGTATTATTTATTTAATGTGCAAGTAATCTAGAAATCTAAACTTTACTATAGAAAAATTATGCAAACAACCCTTGTATTTATTATCGATACTAGGGCGGGGCAATGGATTGCATTTGCAATATTATCACAATTAATCAAAAGGCTGTTTTCAAATCGCAGAGGCACTCAATTTTTAATCTCAATACATTTAACAAGAGTAAGACACTATATTTCTCATTCCAGCCCTTTAGTTAACAGTAATGCGATTAAAGTGGGTATGCCTCCGCGCAGAAGGGCAGACAGAGTTGCAGCTAGCACCTAGATTATTGCGTTATAGTAGAAATGAGAACTTGTTTGTGCAACTTAAAGAGTAAAGTATTGCCACACTGGACTTTAGACCAGCGGGTTTTCAAGGTCATGAAAAAAAACTGAAACCCTGGAGTAACATATCAACATTCTTATGCTTAGTGAAAAGCATTATCGCAACTAAATCGCAATATTGGTTGAAAATAATCGCAATTTTGATTTTCGAAAAAATCATCCAGCCCTAATCGATACCAGGACAAATTAGTATTGTATGCAGATACAGCGTTCCAGTATCGATACTTCCGAGAACCCTATTAAAAACAATTTATTAATTAAAGTCGTAGGGAAGCGGCTGTTCCAACGGTTGCATATCCGAATTCTCCCAAGTGGTTCCCGACTTTACATGAGCGAATAAAGTGAATGTGATTGGTCGTTTATCAAGATGGCGGGATTGTTGTGGCAGAAGGTTCGCAAGCAAGTTTGGTTGTGGCCTGTTTCTCTGAAGCATCTTGCTAACCAGTTAGCAACTTAGTGCTAGTAGGTTCCCAATGGGAAATTCCATTGGGACCAAATAGCACTAAATTGGTGACTTAGAAACGACACTGTCAAGGAACGCTATGTACAGAGGAAACAAGAGGAGGAGAGTTTAGTGTCAGAGGTCATGGATGAGTCTCCTCGTCATACAATTTTTATTTAGGGGAGGAAAGTGGGGACAAAGATGCTATGGCCGGAAAAATTTGATTGACAGATGACCGTTGATATATGATTGGACGAATTTAGGTGTACAAGCTGACGTATAACTAACTGGCCTGCATAAGATAACAAAAGAAAAAAAAACACTATTTTGTTTAAATAGAATTGTTCAAAATTTTGGGACGATATCATCTGATAAATAGTACATTTATATACATATTTAAGCCAGAATTTCACTGCAGTTTTATAAATACAGGTTTATATTAGGATTTTATATTGCATTTAATTAAATTCATTACTAACTTCCAGGCAACATATTTGTGTTGTTTTATCAGAGGTGAAATGCATAAAATGCTCAAAGATTTAGTAATATCGTTTGTATTTTATAATCTGTTATTGTAGGGTCCATTTTTGAACAATTATTTCAAATAATTTCTTTTTTACTGAGGAGTTCTCATGGTAAAAGAAACACCCAAAGGGGTACAAAGTCAAAAAAAGTATCGGAATCACTATTAAATCATGGTATAGGCTTAAGGGCAGGTTATCCTCCCGCAGCAGTGTTGCGCAGTAAGCTTGTGGCAGATATTTTTTGATTTACACCCACAACTGAAGCGTGGTCTGCGCTGTTATTCCACGCAACAACGCAAGAGGGACAATCACAAACTAGCTGTGGGTCTAGATACAGCCGAGGCAGTGAGAACGTGGGGGCAAGTTTGTGCGAAAACAGAGGGATATGAGGGCGAAAAAGACACGGACCCAGGCGGGAAAATGGTCCCAGCGTTCTCGCGCACCTCGCTCTTCTAGCTGGTCCAACTTCACGATACGTTTTCCACAATGGCGGTCATACAAACAAAACAAGCCGGTAAGGAACCAAACAGGAAATATGCATAGTGTAGAGTGGATGTAGATTTGACCAATCAGATGCCTCCTGTCTGCGGTCACCTACAATTTGGAGACGTTCATCAGATCTGCGTTAACTGCGACACACACGGAAACTACCTGGTTTCTGAGTATAAATCCGCATTTATATTACACTTTTGTTATTCCACCATGATAAAAAATCAACATCTGCATTCTTTGAAATCCCAAAAATATGTATATTACATAAATCCAAAAATGCTTCTGATGCATAGCATATGACGTAGTCAAATCTGTCTCTGTGCGTGACCACGGCCCCCGTGCAGAAGTTCTGCAACCATCATCACACACCTAAAAAAAATCCTGACTCCACGTCTGAAGGTCGCAAACCTGCACAGACCTCAAGTGGAAGTGCGCAGACAAAAAGCAGCTGTGATTGGTCCTTAGTATGCCTTTCCGGCTGTCTGTGTGGTCGTCCTTCTTGATCCGGTGCCGGGGCACGCCATTTTTAAAAACCGAGGAACAACTACAATGGATAACTACAACGAAAGGTTAATCAAGAAGGTTCGCTCCATTAACAGAACCTGTTCCTCTTCGATGTCTAGCAACTCTAGATTCATCTCCGTGACCGTGATATCTTGCAGATGCACCATTGTTGTTTTGGAAGATAAAACACTCCAGACGGTGCCGCCGAAGTTTTTCTGACCATCCGCCAAAGTTCTCATGAGTTCTCGAATAGGCTCCCCCTAGCGCTTTGGTGGGAAACTGCTGTGCATCCCTAAAAATTCCAGACCAATGGTGCAGAAACATAACAGCAAAACTGGTTTGCGACCAGACCCAAGCGACATTTGATGTTGTAGAAGTCTAATCTGCCCTTTAGAATGTTTTAAGAGTTTCCTTAAATGGTGACAATTCAGAGTATTTGAAAAGGCCTAGTGGGTAGGGCATAGAGGTTGGAATCCTGAGGTTGTGAGTCTGAAACCCACTTCCACAGCCTGCCACTCTGGGTCCCTGTGCAAAGACCCTAACGAGATTGCTTCCTGGGCGCAACAGGATGGCAGCCCACTGTTCCCCAAAGGGATGGGGTTTTTCTCCAATTTGAGATCAATAAAGTTTTTTTATTGCTGACATGCTGATGATGATGATGTCTATGTCTTTGAGGTGTGTGCTTTTTAAACAAGACCTCAGCACCCTATGTGGTTTAGAACACCTGTTCATTTTTTGTTGTTTTTATTTTCCCTGAAATCAGCTTTCTGTCAGCAAACTCGTTTTAGCTGAATCATTCAGGTATGAATCAATAATACCAAATTTTTCTGAATTACTCAGTTTCAGCTGCTTTGAACTGTGAACATCCTCTAATTCTTTCCATTGTCTCTCTTATATTTCTGCTATTTGGAGAAAAGGAGCAACTGTAAAACAAAAAAAACAGGAAGGAAAAAGTTTCATTTATATCTCACAGCAACTTTATCCCAGATAAGAAACTCCAGCGGCTAGCAGGCTAAGCTAGCCGTTTGCCGACCACTTCGGTCAGTTTAAACAAACCAGAACTGGGATGGAGCTGCTCTCTGCTCCTCACACACACACTAACGGCCCAGTTCCCTCTCTAAACAGCACCGTGTTCTGGGTTCGGAGAGCCTGACCTGACCCGAACAACTTTCTGGGAACACTGTGTTATCATCATGTTGGCTAACAAACAGGCTAGCAGGAGAAGCAGGGCAGATAACTACCAGCATGAGAGCAGAGCTCACCAGACCGGACAGCCACCGGTCCCGGCCTAACAACCAGCTCGGACCTGCTTACCATCGTACAAATCGAGGCGATCTTTCGGACTGTCATCAGTATTTCCATCCGTGCGCCGCCATGTTGGACCGAACCCCTGTGTTAAAATGATTAGAGCCACTGCGGCTGCAGAGAGTTCCGGGAGGGCGAGTCGAACCTGCCTGCTGCCCCTATCAGGACTGTCAAAGTAAAGCAGCACGGGATTTCAGCGAGTGTTTCCGGTGTGACCTTTCAAAATAACACGAAACATGGCAAAAACTCGGAAATAACAAAGCAACGACAAAAAAAAAACATACTATTTTAGGCTGCCATTTTAAAGACATTTAATGCATTGTTTCGTATTATTTGTTCTTGTCTTTGGGCCATTATGTGAATAATTAATATTTAATAATATTCAAATATGCCCCCCCCCCCCCCCCCCCCAAAAAAAAAATAATAATAATAATAGATAGATAAATAATCGGAAAAATATCAAATCAACAAAAATAAAAACATTTTATATTTATCCTTCCTTTTGTAAATACATTTAATGTATTGTTTCGTTCTTGCCTTTGGCCCATTATGTGAATAATGAATATTTGATTTTATTAAAATATCCCTGTAACTGTTTACATCCATAAAGAGAATACTAATTTTATATTTACTATTTGGTAAATACGGCACCATATTGTCTTTTATTATGCGGTCTGTATAGGTGGTCGCATTAGCCAAGAGATCATTGTAGCATCAGGTGACAGGAAAAAAAATAGTCAAATAGCCCTTTGACAGTATTTCAGACTCTTTATTACCAATTGGACAGACACCTTTTTCTGAGAGTAAGTCAGTTATGTGCTCTATATGTGCAGCATTTTAGCTCGTATCAGATTGTCATTCATGAAAGAACAAACTGACAAAAAAAAGGATGTTTTAAAATCTGCTTCCAAGTATCTTGAATGTTTTAACGTTACTTCACTGAATCTGTATTGTTTTAATTATAAATATTCATGCAAGCTGTACATATCACTAAATTACACTTTTTTTCTGTATGTATCTGGCAGTCCTCGAAACTTAACAAGCTCCAGTCTTTTATTTTGAAACTCGAAATAAATCGTTTCCGTTTTAGATGCCATATTTCTGTCCCCCTTCAGGGAATGGTAGGTAACTAGTTGAGGTGGTTAAGTAGTAACACAGAAAAGTAACTTGGTTCAGTTTTTCATCAGGACGAATTTAACTATTGTGTGTTTTAGACAATAACAATGACAATTTGTTCTTCACAGTTTCAGAAATGGTTATGTTCATATTTTACTATTTTTGTTATTATTATTTTAATTTTAATAACACGTTGGGTTTTTTCTTAAATTTGGTTCATTAATTCTAAACTGTTTAACTTATACTTACTTTTGTTTACTTTAAAGTCATTATGAAATCAGACGATATTGTCCCAAAATAACATAAAAATTAAATTTTTTAAAAATCCTGTCTTAAAATAATTTTTTTTGCCGTTATCTTATGCAGGCCAGTTGGTTATACGTCAGCTTGTACACCTAAATTTGGCCAATCATATATTAACGGTCATCTGTCAATCAAATCTTTTCAGTCATAGCATCTTGATTGATATGTCGCAGCTAATATACGCAGCGGGTGAAATAAGAAATAAGAATCATTTCCTTTACCATTGAGTTACATCCTAGTGTTCATGGGGATGGACGTCTGCGTCTTCAGCAGGCGTAGAGCTAACAGAACTTGCAGCGTTGTGAGGCAAGGGCTCAAACATGTACGGCTGTAAGCCTTCTACACCAAACCAAGCTTCTGCCGCCCTGGTGTCCTCTTTCACAACAACTTCGTCCTGCTTTCCTCCTCTAAATAAAAAATGTATGACGAGGAGACTCATCCACGACCTCCGACACTAAACTCTCCTCCTCTTGCATGTTTCCTCTGTCCATAACGTTCCTTGACAGTGTTGTTTCTAAGTCACCAATTTAGTGCTACTTGGTCCCAATGGAATTTCCCATTGGGAACCTACTAGAACTAAGTTGCTAACTGGTTAGCAAGGTTTGCTTGCGAACCTTCCACTGCAATAATTCCGCCCCCTTTTTTTCCACCGCAATAATTCCACTTTATTTACTCACGTAAAGTCGTGCATCACTCGGGAGAAGTTGGAAATGCAAAGGTTGGAACAGCCGCTTCCATATGACTTTAAGAGTAATTTGAAGAAAGTTCTTGACTTACGGGTGGATATTTGCTGCCTTCAAATACTATTTATTCTGAATAAATCAACACAGCAAAAATATAATTTGTGGAAAAACTAATGTTTTTTTTTATGTACTTTTATAATATAAAGCTGTTTATTTGTTTATTTTGTTTCGTTTTCAAGATTTTTAACCACACACCACTTTGGCTTGTGTTTTATTAACAAAGTTGGATCATATTGGAATGCCTCTTCAGGTTGCCAAAAAGTCAACCAGTCAAAACATTTGAAATTTTTATTAAGGGAAGATCAAATGAAGGCCAGATTCCCAAATTGTGAAGTATCCCTTTTCGCTTCAAACTGAAGGTTTAAGAAGACAGATATAAATGATGATACAAACTGACATGGTTTGTAGATTTTTATTTGACATGTCATTTAGACAAGGTAGACAGCACTGTGAGATTTTTCTTTGATTTCCCTGTTGCAGTGAATACATTTCAGCCTGATTTGCTTTGTGTAAATTTCCAGAAGACTCAGGGGGATGACTACCTGAAAAACAGCCCACAGTTAGTTAGACTGAAGGGTCAACTGTCTAACCAGGCAGTCAGCAGCACTATGGGGCAGGTAGCTTCCCTATTCTTTTTCACCCTCTACAACTCTGACATCCAGTACAAGACAGAGTCCTGTCATCTGTGAATGTCTGCTGTCCCTGCTTATATCAGAGATGGACAAGAAGCTGAGTATAGGGAGATGGCATGGAAGCAAACATCTGACCCTGAAAGTGAATAAAACAAGGGAGATTATTGTAGATTTTAAGAGAAACAGGAACAAGTGAAATAATACAACCATGAAAGGAGAAGTTGACATGGGGAAGGGGCATGAATACCGTGTTGATCGCCTGTACTGGAGACGTAACAATGAAGTTCTTTACAAGAAGGGACAGAGCAGACTGTACATTTAGAGGAAGCTTAGGTCCTTTAGTCTTTATGGCAAGATGCTGAATACCATGTATTTTTCTCCCAATGTTTACATTTGGCTGCACTTGAGAAATGTAAATGCCATGAGAACTGTACAAAACAAAATTAAATTTTGTATACACTCTGTGTATGACAATAAAGTTTGTCTAAGTCTAAGATCTTCTATAAGTTTGTTGTTGAGTGTGATTTCTTAAATATTAGCGTAGCTGTGTTGGAGAAAATCAGTTTGACTATCTCAAAAAGCTAAAAAAAGAAGGTAATTTCTGTTCTAGGGACTCCTCTTGAATCTCAGAATAGGATGTTACAAACAATATTCAAGTGTTATTAACAATCCCGTGAATCCTTCTGATCAGACTGATAAAGAGTGTCTTCAGTAAAAGGCTTTGCAGGTCAAGTGTAAGACAGACCACTACAGGAGATCCTAAACCATATAACATCTTTAACAACTCGTTAAAAGAACCATAAGAATTACGGCAACATTCAGTTTCCCATTGGGATCAATAAAGGATATTTAAAATTTGAGTTTAATTGAATAAAAGCAAAGATGATTTACCGTATGTATATTTTTACTTACATTTTGTCTAGTTTTTGAAATGAGTAAATAAGGACAGATATTAATGAATGACCCAGTTTAGCAAACCAAAAATATATTTGCTGTCTTCCATTTCTTCTGGGACTGTGTTGCAGCAGTCTCAGCAGAGACTCCCAGACTTCCCTCTCACACGGAGACCTGCTGGTGGAAGCCTGAGCCGCTCCCAGGCCAGCCATAGCCTTCCAGCGTTTCTCGGGTCCTCCTCTGGGCTCCATCCCGAGGGAGCCATCCAGGGGGCATCTGAAAAAGATGTCTGAGCCACCTCAGCTGACTCTTCTCGATGCTGAGAAGCAGCTCTGTCCGGGCGTCTCCTGCTTGACCAAGGTCCTCACCCTATCGCTAAAGGAGCACCCAGACACCCTGCAGAGAAAACTAATTTCAGCTGCTTGTATCCGGGATCTCGATCTTTCGGTCGTTATCCAAATTTTATAACCATAGATTAGCGTAGAAAACTACACCAGCTGATTCTCATCCTGGCCGCTTAACACTCGGCTACTAAACGCCCCAGGTCATGGTGTATAGATCTTGGCAGGAGGGAGCCAGCAGAACCACATTATGCTACACTGCCCTATTTGGAGCCAAAGCACTGGTACACTGCCCTCTTGGGAGCCAAAGCAAATGCTGAACTCCCCTCCAGGAGCGAAAGCGCATAAAAACAGCCCTCTAGGGAGCCAAAGCACATGCTGAACTTCCCTCTTGGGAGCCAAAGCACATGCTGAACTCCCCTCCAGGAGCCAAAGCGCATGAAAACAGCCCTCTAGGGAGCCAAAGCACATGCTGAACTTCCCTCTTGGGAGCCAAAGCACATGCTGAACTCCCCTCCAGGAGCCAAAGCGCATGAAAACAGCCCTCTAGGGAGCCAAAGCGCATGCTGAACTTCCCTCTTGGGAGCCAAAGCACATGCTGAACTCCCCTCCAGGAGCCAAAGCGCATGAAAACAGCCCTCTAGGGAGCCAAAGCGCATGCTGAACTTCCCTCTTGGGAGCCAAAGCACATGCTGAACTCCCCTCCAGGAGCCAAAGCGCATGCTTAACAGCCCTCTAGGGAGCCAAAGTACATGCTAAACTGCCCTCTTGGGAGCCAAAGCACATGCTACACTGCCCTCTTGGGAGCCAAAGCACATGCTAAACTGCCCTCTTGGGAGCCAAATCTCATGCTAAACTGCCCTCTTGGGAGCCAAAGCGCATGCTAAACTGCCCTCTTGGGAGCCAATGCGCGAGCCAAAGCACATGCTAAACTGCCCTCTTGGGAGCCAAAGCAAATGCTAAACTGCCCTCTTGGAAGCCAAAGTGCATGCCAAATGCCCTCTTGGGAGCCAAAGCGCAAGCTAAACTGCCCTCTTGGGAGCCAAAGCACATGCTTCACTGCCCTCTTGGGAGCCAAAACACACCCTAAGCTGCAATCTTGGGAGCCAAAGCACATGCTAAACTGCCCTCTTAGCACCCAAGGTACATGCTAAATTGCCCTCTTGGGAGCCAAAACACATGCTAAACTGCTCTCTTGGGAGCCAAAGCACATGCTAAACTGCCCTCTTAGGAGCCAAAGCACGGGCAAACTGCCCTCTTGGGAGCCAAAGCACATGCTGAACTCCCCTCCAGGAGCCAAAGCGCATGCTAAACTGCCCTCTTGGGAGCCAAAACACGTTCTAAACTGTCCTGTAGCTAAAGCATGTGCCAAACTTCTCTGTTGGGAGTCAAAAGGTGTGCTATGGTGCCACCTTAGGAGTCAGAACACATGCTAAAGTGGCCTCTGCAGTGGTAAGGACATGCTATTCATGCCCTTTGTATAGCTTCTGTCCTTCAAAAACTCTGTGCACCAACGATAACTAACACATAACTAACCCTAAACCTAATTTAAACTAAATTCACACCTTAGTCCTCAACCTAATCCCCATACCAAGAAGAGAACTTCTCTCCAGTCACATGTCCCCATTTGTACCAATAAATCCCCAAAGTGTACTTGGACCTTTTCTGGGTAAGAAAAACTTAGACAAACATCGACTTCAATTCAACATAAACCAAAATGTACGGAAAGCTTTTTCAAAATATGATTTTTTTCTTTTATACTTTTGTTTCCACATTTATATCCACCGCATTTGATAAAACACAGATAATGTCCTTGTTTTATAGCATTAATGTATCCAGGCTGTGATTTTAGACCAAATTCCCACTGATCTCCCGGGAATATTTGAGGGGCCGGATTAAAGCCTACATCCCATTCCCTCCCTTTCATCACTCCTGCTCTCAGTCCACAACCAGAGGCATCTGGAATCTGCGGGAATCGGGACCTTTTAGGCGTGAAAATGGATTATTGACGCCTTTAATGATGCATCCAACGTGGAGCTGCAAGTCTGGTTTCAGCTTTCTTTGAAGAACTTGTGGAAAAGTCTAATAATAACAAGGAAGGAGGACAAACTGAATTTGTTTGATCAACTCCAAGCATTTTTTTTTTTTCCTTCTCTCTGGTTAAACTAGAGCTTTTAGTCCAAACGTGGTTTCCCTGCAGGGATTTAACACGGAGTGATTTCCGCTCGGTTTGCAGGGATCGGTTGCAGTTTTCCCCCAGAAAGGTTCGGAGCTGCGCTGCGGGGCGGAGAGGAGCTCAATGCGGCTGTCTGGAGACTCTGCCCCGGGAAACATGAACAGCAGCGGGTCTGGCAACTTCCTGCTGGTCCCCATCCCGGAGTATCCCCTGCTGGACTGCGTCCCCAACAAGACGGTGAAGATCGTGGTGCTGGGCGCCAGGAACGTCGGGAAAACCGGTATGGGTTCAGGATGCAGTTAAAAAAATAATAATTAAATCCTAATATAGGGATGGCTTCAACTTTCAGGGCAGAATATGTGACTTTAAAAGACTAAATGGTTTCTATATTTTATTACAGTGTAATAAAGAAACTTTAAAATTATTTAAAATTGAAATGAAATCATTAAGTGGGAGATAAATAAAGTTTTACAATCGATGGACGATAGGGGGCGATAAACAGCACTGATTTCCTCAAAGTTAAATACAAAAACTATAATTGGCTGTAATTGATACACACTGAAAAAAATAATGCAACCGCTTTTGGCATTTACTTAATCATATTTAGTTAGTTTAACACAATTGTTTTATGTCCTACCCTGCTAACATGAACAATTGTGTTAAAGTAACTAAATATGATTTCATAAAATATCAAAAATGGTTGCATTATTTTTTTTTCAATGTAGAGTCATGAACTGTGGGGCCAATAAAGAATAAATTAAATGGCTGGGACGCTATTCACATCATCATATTGAGGATGATTACAGAGTGTTTTATATAAAAAAGATTACTTATAAAAAAAAAAAAAAAAAAAAAAAAAAAAACACTTTAAAGTACAGTATTTTATTGGTTATCTTTTAACTCTTCACTAGTATGTTATTCTTAAACATGTTTCTAAGGTCCACATTTCTATAATCTTTTTGCTGCTGTAAACACCGGAATTTCCCCATTGTGGGGCAATAAAGGGAATTTTTTATTCTTCTATTCTGATATTTCCTTTTTTTTATCATGTTAAAAAAAAACTAATTGAGATGAAATCTCTTTTTTAAGGCTGACCAGGCGAAGAGGGCAGCAAGGGCATAGTTATACCAGTAAAATACAGAAATCAATTTAAATTATCCTAATGTAATGAGATCAAAACTGTAATAATTTAAAATGCTATTTTAGTCCCATTTTAGGAGTACTCTCATATTTCTGATAACAAGTAAGGATAGTTTTGGGGAATTATGGGATTTTTTTTGTGTTTGACCATACAAAACATTAGAAAGATCAATAAGTTTATTGCAGAAAGTTGTGCTCTGATAAATCTGGTTCGTTATAAACATAATATAACACAAAAAATAAGATGCAATAAAGAATAAAGGTGTAATTTATGTTATTAGGAAGCTCATTAATCACAATACAAATGTGATTACATAAATATTGGACTTTTTCCCCTTTCTCAGAATGATAAATCTAATCAACCTATTTATTTATACCATGGACAACAGAGCATGCTTTACAAAGTAATAAAAACGAATGCATGTCAGATTAAAAGCAAGTGTTCACACTTCCAAGTATATAACACAGGACACATACATACAAACACACATAAGAACACTTAACCCCCACGCCTTTCTACGCATGACATCAGACCCCTTAGCTAAAATAAACCTCAAAATATTTAGTGATTATTAAATAAGCGCACCAAAGAATTGTGAAGTCGATCTACGTTCTGTAGAATGGAAGGGAAACGGCTGTAGGTAAGCATCCCCACAGCATAATGCTGCCACTACCATCTCTTACTGTTACTTTCAGGTGATATTTTAAATCTTTGTTTTCTGCGACACATCAAGTCTGCACAATATATATATATATATATATATATATATATATATATATATATATATATATATATATATATATATATATATATATATATATATATATATATATATATATATATATATATATATATATTTCTAAAGGTATGTTATTAAGCCAATTGGATAAAGTGTTTCTGTATCAGATGACCAACATGGCGAAAGGCCAAAGAATAGAAAGCACAAAAGAAGAAGGAAGGAAGTATATCACAACTTTTATTGATAAAATTTTCTAATATTCATCAGACCAAAAGTCCACGCTGGCTTAAATGTATATGATTACTCCCCCATGAAGCCCAGATATATAGCATGCATGGCAACTGATTGTCCCACCTGAGCAGGGAAGCTCTGCACCTCCCCCATAGTTACCCCTGAGCGGCTGGCTGTTTATCAGATTGGTGCTCTCCTTGCCCTGCCAGTCAGAATAGATGAACAGTCACGCTGTCTTGGTATGTTTACAGCTGTGCATCAATCTGTCAGATAAACTTGTGGTATATTTTGATCACCTAAACGTCTTTTAACTGCTTCCACCACTCTATTTTGTGACACAGTGAAGTTTGTCGTTCTCCAGAAAGCAAAACAGTTCGCTTGCAGTAATACGCCAGATGAAGTGAAATCCTCAGGCAGGAAAACAGCGAGGAATCTGCACTGCATGTCCAGTGAGCAGAAAATGTTCTGTCTGTAACTCATCTTGGAGAAATATCTCTGTTCAGTTCAGTATTTTTCAATTTGGTTAGCTATTTACCTCCATTTCACAATGGGGAAAAAGAGTTATCACACAGTGCAGTCAAGTTTAATCAATTAGTCTAATTGGTTAAAAAATTTTCACTGTAATGAAGCCCAGCAGATTAGGTCAATGACTGGCAGCATCCGTTTCTCCTGGAGGAACATATAGCGACTGTGGGAAGGAAAACTCCTCCAGCAGAACCAGGCACAATGAGGTTTTCCATCTGGTCCACTGGTCTGCACTGACCTAGAAGTACTTTCTATTTAATAGAAAAGTAAAATGTTAATGGCTGCAGCTCACGTTATCTTGGAAGAGATAAAACGGCAAAACAGAAGCAGATTAGCTCTAAATCAGTTTTTCAAGTCAGAATGTTTAATCTGAGCTAAAGAGCCAACATTACCACCCTCCCCCTTTTCTATTTTAACACTTTTATGTTTATTCCCAGTTTACTGACTAATGTGGAGATGGCACCATTGTTAAAAAAAATGTACACAATGTGCATAGTTGTGGCTGCATCATTCTGAGGGGCTGCATTTCTACAGCAGAGATATGGAACGTTGAAGGGAAGACTATCGAGATAAAGAGTTAGAAATTCTGGAACAACATCTTTTATAGGATGAACATGTGATACGGACCCCCCCACCCCTTCAAACTTTTAGCAGGAAATTAACACTAAGAACACATTCTGGAACGGTTCAAATTACAGCATATCCATCGGATTAAATGGTGAGGCTATAACCCAGAACTAAATTATCCAAATGTGAATCTGAGGCAAAAGTTGAAAAACAATCTCCATTCAACCTGATTGAGATTCAGCTATTTTGGATAGAAGAATAAGATATTTTAGTTTTTGTGCATTTCAAGTCGTAGGGAAATCATATTTAACTGTCTAATCATTCTGGCTTAAACAAGTATATAAATGTACTCTTTATCAAAAGATATTGTCCCAAAAGTTAGAAAATTTCTATTTAAAAAAAAAATCCTGTCTTAAAATCTGTGTTTTTTTTCTCGTTATCTTATGCAGGCCAGTTAGTTATACATCAGCCTGAACACCTAAATTCAGCCAGTCATATATCAACATTCATCTGTCATTCAAATTTTTTCTGTCATAGCATCTTGATTTATATGTCGCAGCTAATATACGCAGCGATTGAAATCAGAAATAAAAATCATTTACTTTCCCACTGAGTTCCATCCCAGTGTTCACGGGGATGGACGTCTGTGTCTTCAGCAGGCGTAGAGCTAACAGAACTGGCAGCGATGCGAGGCAAGGACTCAAACATGTACGGCTGTAAGCCTTCTACACCAAACCAAGCTTCTGCCGCCCTGGCGTCCTCTTCCACAACATCTTCATCCCCGCTTTTCTCCTCTAAATAAAAAATGTATGACGGAGGAGACTCATCCATGACCTCCGACACAAAACTCTCCTCCTCTTGCATGTTTCCTCTGTCCATAGCGTTCCTTGACAGTGTTGTTTCTAAGTCAACAATTTAGTGCTACTTGGTCCCAATGGAATTTCCCATTGGGATCTAATTTCCCACTGGGAACCTACTAGGACTAAGTTGCTAACTGGTTAGCAAAATGCTTCTGAGACACCGGCCACAACCAAACATGCTTGCGAACCTTCTGCCACAACAATCCTGCCCCCTTGATAAACGACCAATTGGATTGACTTTATTCTCTCCTGCAATGGTTGGAACGGCCATTTTCCTACAACTTTAAAGCTTGTACCAGCCATCAGTTATGTGGGCAGAATCCAAATAAACCAAGGCAGGGCAATTAATTCCATTCAAAATATAATTGCAATTGAACTAAACAGTACTTTTAAATAACAGAAACACTCATCTTTGGTCACATTACATTTAATAAGAGTAAGAAACTAAATCTGGCACTCCTGACCTTTAGGTGGCAGTGATGCGCTTAGTGTGGGTTTGCCGCCACATGAAAAGGCAGAGAGAGTTTCAGCTAGCATGCAGATTTATGCAGGTAGAAGTGAAAAACTGAAAACCTGGAGGAAAAATACAAAATTTGTGTATAATGCGAAAGAAAATCAAAATAATATTCCAATATTGCTAGAAAAATAATCACAATTTTGATTTTTGGCAAAACTGCCCTAAAATATACACCAAACACTCTCTGATTTTGGTTTTTTAATTGTTTCAAAACAGAAGATTATCCATTGCTGCATGTTAGATACGCATAGAATCCCAAATAAACTGCATTGAACTTTGTGGTTTTCTATGTTATAGAAGTTCAAGCGTTATGCTTTTTTTTTTCCAGCACTATATTGATAAGAAAATACATTCAGATTTTGCACTTCATGTAGATCTTTAGTCTGAAAATAAAAAAAGAACCATCTCCTCTGTTTTATCTGGGTATATCTGCAGTGTTTTGTAGGCTTCCTTTTCCCTCCTTAAAGCAGAGCCTCACTGATTCAATGCTCAGTCCTCTCCAAGGACCCAACCATCTGGACATGCAGTTCTTGTTTTGACATGCATGGTTTAGAGAGCTTTTTGTTCCTCACTACAGGATCCAAGCTTCTCTGGAAGTCCTTAAGGAGTGAAGGAGATAATCTTTTACCAGCACGTCCGGTTCTTACTATTTTCTCTCCTTATTCACCATAGGCCTGGGTTTCTTTCCCCTCACTGAAATTTGACCCTTAAAGAAGAAAATATGTTGCGGGGAGAAGAGAAATTCTACCAGCTGTTGGAAAAAGTAGAGCGCAGAGAGACTCCAGTGTCTCCAGTCACTGATCGACTAATTCTGCTTCATTTCAGCTTTGATTGTCAGGTTTCTGACCAAGAGGTTCATTGGAGATTATGAAGCAAACACAGGTGAGTTTCTCATTCGTCTGAGCGCCTTGAAGTCCTTCACACTGCTGACTGATCCTATCCTGATTGATCCTGTCATCCCTTCATATTTATCCTTCCACCCGTATCTCTTTGTCTCCGCAGGAGCGCTCTACTCTAGAAAGGTCACCATGGATGGGGAGGAAGTGTCGCTCCAGATTCAGGACACACCCTGTGTCGCCCTCCAGGTCATTTCAATGAACTGGCTGTTTTGGCTTGTATGACTTGGTGACCATTATATTCTCTGTATGAAAGAATGCTGAATTGAAAATTGGCAAAAAATGTATCAATTCCCTCTTTCTAAATTGATTCCAAACCATATTGGACTCCGCTGCTTTTTAGAAACATGCATTTTATTTTATTTTTCAGCTCTGTTTGTCTAGCTCTAGTTAAAGTGTAAACATCCTACATAATCTTTTTTTTAAAGGCAAATCCATGCAAAAAATCTTAAATAGTATCAGTATACGTATCGGTATTAATATTGACAATACTGGCCCCGTATTTACATGTTATCCAATGGAGGCTATAGTAACCAGCACTACACAGCTGTGTAAATCAGTCTGTGCTAAATTATCAACATAAATGCTTCTTTTCAGTGAAGTTGTGTAAAATTCAACAGGAAGGTACAGAACTCATGTTTACATCAAATGGATTGTATTGATCAGCTTTGACCAGTGGTGGGTAGTAACTAGTTACATTTACTCAGTTACATTTACTGTAGTAGAGTAACTTTTTGATAAAAAAATTACTATTAAGAGTATTTTTACAGCATTACACTTTTTACTTGGGTAAAAATCTGAGAAAGTATCACTACTCTTATTGAGTAAAGTTTCTTGCTACTCCATCCATTCTGAGTCACTTCACTTAAAGGTATTGTGAAGGTTTTTCTCAAATTTTTAAAAAAGACCCGCCCCTCTCCTGGGCGAACTGCCCATTTTTCCTCGCTTTTCCACGCTGTGTTTAAAAGTTGCTGTTTTCATAGCTCATACAAACTTACTGTGTCCGAATGTCCACCCTAACCCCAAAATCCCTCAATCACTAAATAGAACGGGGACAATATAGTGGACTTTATAGTTAACTCAGTTAACTGACTGTTTGGACAGATGATTACTTCCCCGTTGGTCCGCTGTGCGGTGCCTGCGCCATCTTTGTTATTTGTCGGCGGTGTCTGGTAGCAGCAGCCTATGGCGACAGCAGGCCGCTTTGACAGCAAATCCCAGAATGCTTCCCGAGGAGAGTTCTCCACGCAAAGCATTCTGGGATATATCTGCCTCTTTTTTTTTCTTCTCATGCATCTCGTAGACACTTTTCTCATACGACCCTCGGCCATTTTCAAAGAACCACTGCAAGGAAACAAGCTTCAAGGTCTGAAACTGTAGCTTAACACAGATATATGCCTGAAAGTGTGCATGCACAGAAAAAGATAGCTGACCGGACGAGCACATAGGACGGCCTTACGTAAACATATCACCAGAATGATAGACAATTAGGAGGACCACTTATTTAGATGATCCACCCGGAAATAAACAATCATCCTCTATAACTTTAATGAAAACAAGCTTGTTTTAAACAATTATTCACAATTCAGAGACACACTTTCTTAATTCTTATGAACAAGCCTTGCTGGTTAAATGTTATTTTCCATCTGCCGATTCTGCCGTGTGGAGGTTAAGTGAAAATACAGTTAACAGTATGCTGTAATTTAACCCATTCTACATACAGTAACTATTACAGTTTGTAAGTTTTAAAACGAAAAATGCATTTCAAAGAATATTCATTACACCTGTTTTTTTTAATTGTAATTTCTGTTTATAGTTTCTTCTTTGGTCTGATCTTAGTCTTTGAAACTCTAGAATTTGCATATTTTATTGTATTTCACATAATTTTGTTAAATATAATAATATCAAATAGGCTTTTATTCTTGAGAGAGTTCTTTGAAGGCTAATTTTTACTTTTACTCGAGTAAAAACACAATAAAGTAGCGCGATTTTTGTTTAAGTACGAATTTTGGGTATGATTGGTTTTAAATTGCCAGTAATGTATGGACATTAAAGCAATTTAAATTGACCAATAGTAGCTACAAGAGCTGTTAACATCCCATGCACTGCACAAATGATCTAGAAATAAGTGAAAATGTCTTAATTCACTCTTAATTTAAAGAAGGAAAATAAGATCGTTTGCCAATGGAATGAGTATTTTTACTCTTAGAATAAGTTAATTAGATAATATGGTCTTGAAATAAGCTCTTTTTTTTATTTTAAGTTTAAATTGTCTCGTTTTATTGGCAAAATGTCTCGCTTACCCCCTCAGTTCAAGAAAAAATGCACTTATTTTAAGAAAAAAGGACTTAATTAGATTTAGATTTTTTGCAGAGTGGGTTTTCCAACTTGTAACTGGAGCATGTCTAAGTTAGGTCTGTTTCATTCTCCACTGCTCTCTCCTCCTGGTCAGTTCTAGTTTGAAGTAAAAATCCAAGTTCTTGTATAACGTATCTGCTTGTCTGTTTATTAGCTTTATATGTATTTTACAAATTGTCAACAAGTTGTTTATAAAGTGATGTTGTTATGGAAAGCTCTGTGTTTACAAGTTGAAGCTTTCTCTTTCGGGTTCTTTAAGTGAGAGGAGATTACTCGGGACAAACTCTTTAAATAATACATCATATTGTATAAGTTTTTAATAACCAGGACATTGTAATTTTTCTCAAATCAGATCATTTGCTTAGCGTTACAGAAGGTAGCGCTTATCAACCGGGCTCACATCTTGTTGAAGTCGCCCACAACCACAGTTAGAGAAGCATTTTATACAACTCCAGTATGCCAAATCTCCACATTACATCATACATGTTTGTAAATGAAGAAACATCAATGGCTCCAGCCTTATCATAATATTACATTATGTTCTTAGATCAAGGAAACCGCTCTCATTCTATTAACAAATCTTTGCCACATACAGAATGAAGATGACTTTTTATTTTGACATAAGAAGACCTAATTAGATAAACTACTTGGGAAAGCATTAGTTCTGACACAAAGCTAATATTAGGGTTTAACAGACTGATACATCATCAATGAAAATAATTCTAATAATGTGATTGATCAATAACAACCAGAGGAATTCAAAATACAGATCTTCATCAAGTATTTACGACTGCAACCTTTATGCCTGATACAAAGCCTTACAGGCTCTTATTTTTGCAGCCAGTTTGGGCCATGCATTTTCAAAAAAATACGGGGTTATGAACAGGAAATCCAGGGTTAAGTGTCCAGGATTTGCTGACTGGTAGACAGAAAAAGATCTGCTGTGGAATGTTGTTTCTAGAAGGAGCGACTGTTACTGAAACATGTGGTTTCGACTTTTAATGAGCTTGTTTGGCAAATAAACGGTAGCTCAATGAACAGAGATAATGGATCAGGTGTAGTGACTTGACATGTTCAAGTATAGGTTACTCAGTCTAATGCCTCAGCACAGAGTGTGCTCACCTGGAAGGAAGATAATCTTTCTTTTTCAGTAGGATTTTATCACTTTAAAGAAAACATTTTATTTAATCTGAGTTATGTACAGGTCAAATTCTAGCTTAATATTAAAACTAGCAATGCTGCATTCGCTCTGGCCTAGTTTTTTTTAATCATGAGGAAATATGAGTAAAAGATTAAAGAACGGTTTGTTTTAGAGTCCAACTTTTTTCACTGGAAGCTTCTTGACAGTGAGAAGCAGAGGTTAATTAGACTGAGCAAGTCTGAAAGAATTCCAAAAGGGAGAAAGTGACTGATAACAGAGGGAGTTTAATGAGTGCAGAGAGGGAGGGAGGGTTCAACAAAAAGGTTCATAATGTAAAAGTGGGGATCTTTAAGTTATGCTGCAAAACAAAAAGCAGTTACAGAGCCATCTATGCAGCAGGGTGGTTGAATAAATCATGGCTGCTCCATCTATGCTACCCATTTCTCTTGGTTATAAGCTGGCAGCCAAACACCCACCTGCATACTCACCTCATTCTTTGTTTTATCAGGATGACGCTGAAGGCCTGTACTGCCAGGAGCAGATCAACAGGTCAGGCTGAAATCATATTATTATGAGTTTTAATATCAAACTCATGTTCTCAGTTAATTTCCTTTAGTACTTTCTTAATTCCAGGTCCATCTATTGGGCAGACGGGTATGTGCTGGTTTTCTCCATTACAGACAACAGTAGCTATCGAACCATCCAGCCTCTCTACCAGCACATCAGACGTATACATCCGTCTGGAAACATCCCGGTTATTCTGGTAAGGATTTCTGCAAAGATAAGTTTCACTGTGATAGCTTACTTGCATCAGCTATCTTTTTGAAATGCCTTTTGAACATTTTTTTTACTTTTCTGTCGATCACGGCCATTAAGGTGAATAAAAATGCTGGCATCTAAAATAAAACTTTGAGCATCCCTCAAAGCTTTGAAGAGCATCAGTGAGCGCAGTAGCAAGGTAGCAGTTATAACTCTGGAGGAGCTGTAGGGATTTAAACCTTAGGTGGGGGAATCTGGTGACAGAAAAGTTGATAGTTATCCAAATCTATGAAACTGAACTTTATGGAACTGAGATAATTTAATAATATGAAGTTCTGTTTTATATATAGCACCAATTCATGGCACATGTCAGCTCAACAGAGACACTTCAACCAGATCATACAGTCAGATTTGTTTAAATTTTTTTATTTATTTAAGGAAAACCCGCTGATCGCATTGACTCATTGACTCGAAAGCAATCCCTCACACCAAGCATGCTTGTAGCGACAGTGGAGAGGAAAACTCCTTTTAAACCTCCATCAGAACCGGGCTCAGTGAGAGCGACCATCTGCAGAGGCCAGCAGGAGTTCAAGGACACAGAAGAAGACATACAAAACAAACATATAGACACTCATCTATAAATATTTGCTTTTATAAAAAAGTGACAGTAAACTAGCTCCATAGATTCTCTGTGCGAAAGAAACAGTGAAAGAAATGAGCTCTAAAACAGTTTTTACGTCAAAAGGATGAAAAGCAGCGCATGCAGTTAGTCACAGTTAAAGCTGAACCCATAGCTATGTTTAGGAGAGAAACAGGAATGAACACTGAAAAAGAGGCCCAGCTCTGTCATCTATAATCCAAGGTGTGGATGGCAGCAGCATAGCCGACATTTCGCTTCAGGACGGTGTCACAGCCAAACAGTAATAGACCAGATGATGCTACTGTTATGAGAAAAAGCAGAGAGATCACAAAGTTAGTGGTGGAGCCAGCAAATGATGAAGAATGGAGATAATAGAGATGGAATGAAGTGGAAAACGAAAATGGTAGGCATTAGCTTAAAAAAGTGATAGGAGGTTCCCAGGAGAGGTGAAGAAGAAGAGGGTTTGATAAAACCAAAATGGACTCTTGGACCAAAAGGGAAAATGCTGTATGGTAGAAAAACCAACGCTTCAACTCACCATGAACGCAATGATGGTTTTATATGGTGGTGGCAGCATTATGTTGTGGGCATGCTCGTCTTCAAAAGGAAAAGGGTCTGAATTAAGGAAAAAGTGTTTAGATAGAGGCTGCAGAAGAGTCAAGGCTGGGGTTTGGTTTCAACAGCTAGTAACAACTAGACGTTCTACCGGAGCTACGATTAAAGGCTTTAGATCATATTTATGTGTTAGAATGGCCCATTTTTCAGTTCTTTAATATTCCAGCATTTTTATTGTCATTACACTGTCACAATTACAGAGTAAAAAAATGAATTCTCTGCCTTTAACCCATCCCCTTGGGGAGCAGTGGGCTGCCTTTATGCGGCATCTGGGGAGCAATGTGGGGGTTAAGTGTCTTGCCAAAGTGGCAGTCTGTGTGAGTGGTGCTTGAACTTAGAACTTTAGGATTCCAGGCACATTGCCTTAACCACTAGGCCGCCACTCCCCAAGGTAGGCATCAGCGTGAATGGTTTTGCCTAAGACAAGTTCTTGCCTAGACATTACTTTTTTTTTACTTTGAGACCCGTGTCAAATTTGTTATCTCTGTGTCAGTTTTATATTGTAAATATAGAAAGAAAAAAATATCGGCCCCAAGAATTGGCCCAAAAAAATCGGCAGCACATAAACTGATGTTAAAATAATTGGCATTGGGTTTGGCCTTACAAAATCTGCATCAGTCGATCTCTGCTCAAAAGGCAGGCTAAGAACTGTTAACATTTTTTTAGTTGTTAAAAACAAAAAGCTTGCGTCTCATTATTCTTTCCTTAAAAAATCCTCCACCCTAAAATTCATTATATAATATTATAAAATACATTTCTTAAGGATTGTGTTTGCGCTGTTTCAACGTGTAAAAAAAAAATCAAAAGGTGTAAATACATTAATGTCTTTAAAATCCTGTTAGGTTGATCAGAACAACCGTATTAATTTCAAGGCAGAGCAGACAAGAAACCTGCTAATCTTAATCGTGTAATCTAATCTCCAGTATAATCTCTTCCCTGCTGCAGGTTGGCAACAAGAATGACCTGCTCCGAGCCCGACAAGTGCCTGCAGAAGAAGGCAACACGTTAGCCACTTCCCTAGGTACGGAGTACAGTAAAAAAAAAGTGAATGCCTGGTCCTAAGACCCCTAATGCTGTTTTGTTGTTTAATTATGGATTCAGCCTAGGCTTGTCCCGATCCGATCCACGTATCGGATCGGGACGCCGATATTGGCAAAAAAATGCGTATCGGCAAAGCATGTAAAATGCCGATCCAGTTTTTAAAAAAAAATCCAGTTTCGCCGATTGAAACGATCCATTCCACTATTTTGCGCCAGTGTTCCCCTGTTTTGCATTTTTATTAAAACTTACAGTAATACTTGCACCTTTAACTGTTTACGGTTTTACTGCTCACTGTGCAATTTCAGATTGCTATTCGTAATTTAGCCCAGTTTGTGTTTATCTCTTAATAAACAGGTAAGTTTGTTGTTACCAAGCATTGTGTTTTATTCAATCTCATCAATTTAGCTGGCTAGATGTTATCAAGAGTACTAAAACCCTTTTCAACATGAGTCTTACAACTAAGGCTAAATACTTTAACTTAAACTTAAATACATGCTCGGATAGGCTGGTATCGGCTAGTATCGGTATCGGATCGGAAGTCCAAAAACAATATCGGTATCGGATCGGAAGTGCAAAAACCTGGATCGGGACATCTCTAATTCAGCCTAAAAGTAACAACAAACCAAAGCTACCCGCAACTAGAGGGAAAGCAGGAAGAGGAATAAACTGATAGATTGGGGTTTATGCACTAGTCCAGTCTGTTATGATGAAGAAAGAACCCCTGATTTACTGTTCTGTCTACCCTCCTGGCCTCAGCTATGCTTTTGAGGTATGGATTATTACTGAAACAACGTGATCCTGGATACAAGCGGCCAGTATGATCTTCTTTCCGGATGGCTGGACTCTGCTCTCTCTTCCATCCTCAAAATAGAGCAGAGGCTTCTCTGCATTGAAGGGGTCAGTTGAGGTGCATTGAGTAACAGGGTGTCCCCTGGGTATATTATACCCCCTTTTCTTGCTGGAACCCTATTTATACCACTTAAAATTGTCTATTTATTAAATTTTTTCTACCATGACCCATTCCCTGCAATTATACTGCATCCCCAACCATTAACATTCTTATGCATATTTTCTCTGAAAGCTTTTTTCTTTGGTGATTCTTTTTATTTTGACCCTCTGTGAATGTTTGAAAGATTTATGCTCTTTGTTATCCAGTGAAAGATCTGCAAAAACCATTTATTTTATGGTTTACAGTTCACAGATAATCACTCCTTTACTTATTGTTCTTATTGTAAACCTTAATCCAAGTAGAAATAGAAACCACCTATTCTGAAATTGGTGATTTCCAGTTTTTAGATGGATTAGTTATGGTTGAACACACCAACCAACTCCCAACAGTTGGCGATTTCACACTCTGCTAAAATATTGAGGAACACAGTACAGATGAAGTGACCTTGATAAACTGTATCCTGCATGTTTCCTGATGAGAAAGGAATGCCGACTGTTATCAGGACGATGAGAGCTGAGTTGATCTGAGCCATATCTCTGATCGCAGGAGGCGTTTACTTCGAGGCCTCGGCCAGAGAGAACCACGAGGGAGTCCATGCCGCCTTCCTCCATCTCTGTCAGGAGGTGGGGCTTTATCTTATTTTTCTCTTCTTTTGTCGGAAACGGTTGATTGGTGACTCAGGAGTCCTAATATAGGGAGCGTTTGTCTCGATGAAAGCATCTTATTTAGCTCCTTGGGTGTTGGTCATTTTATATCCACCATCCTTTTAAGGAATTTCATGCTCTGTGGGAGCTCTGATAGCTGACTGATCCTAAAAACGGAAATACCACATGTTTATCTTTTTGGCCATAGAGGGAAACCAAAATGGATCACTGTGTGTGTGTGTGTTTTTTTCTTAGTGGAGTAACAGTCGTTCCCCTCCGGGAGGACCACTGAAATTTGCAGTTTCCTGCTGCTCTACGAGATTGTTGTGGTAATTAGGCTCAAATTCTCCCCAAAATTATCCACATTTTCAGATAACAAATCCACCAGTTAGTTCCTCACTAAATAAAAAGCCAAATAATGTATGAGATCCACAGGTTGACGGTTTAATAATCCTGTTAAAATAATAAAAAAGGGGGGGGGGGGGGGGGGGGGGGGGGGAATTACAGATTTAGCAAAATCATCCATAGTCCATAAATAATCCTTGAGATATTTTAATTTTACATTTTTTAACAGACCAAAACAAAGTAGCTCAAATTGTGAAGCAGCAGTCAAGTCAAACATGACCTTAAAGATATTTTGTAAAGAAATAGTTAAAAGTCTCTTGAGTCTTTTTTTAGACCTTAACATATTTTCTTCAGACTTGTTTCTATATTAAGCTCCACCAAGGTTATGTTGTTTGTTCCTGCTAAAGAGAAACAATCCCACTGCATGATGTAGCCAGAAATAATCTGCGAAAAGCAAGTTTCAAGGTATGCTGCCATTTTTAAATTGTATTTAGAACACAGCTGATATTGGGCACATGAATATGCTTTGACCTCGACCATCTGATTTAATTTTTTTGTAGCTTAGGCAGAATTTCTTTCTGTCCTTCTTCCAAATGCTGAACTTTTTCCCCATCATTGGATAAAAAAACATGATGCTCGCACCACCGTGCACCACGATCCCGCGTGGACCTGCTGTGTTTAGGTTATTTGCAGTTGGGTAATGCTAGGTTTATTTAGTTTGTTTTTTTGCAATACATAGAGTTTAGGATGCCTGTTAAAAATATTCACATTTAATCTTATTTAAAAAGAACATGTTTTGCAGAAAACCCAAATGATAAAGCTCCTGGAAGGTTGCAGAAGGAAAAAACAATACCCGTCAATTTATTCTCAAAACTTTATCATGAATGTTGTTGTAGCTAAACTGAGATTTAGCGATACAAAAGTGCATCTTTGTTTTTGTATTTATTTTTATTAAAGGACAGAAAAAATTACAAGTGAGAAAGGTTTGACTAAAATTTTCTGGCAATAAGCAGTGAGACGAGACAAAGGATTAACGGAAAGAAAAAACAGAACAGAGATTAGTCTATTAACTAGTTTGCTTTACTAATAATATACAAGCATGGGAGCATAGGCCTAAGAGAAACTAGATTTAGAAGGAGCAATATATTCCATCCAGGGTCAACAAAGGTGGATTCTGGTAAAGCCTCAGTGTGTAAAATGTACTGTTATTTAGCAGTGCACTAAATGAATAACAAGCACTTTGCCTATATCGAGATAATACCCAATATGGGAGCCATGGAGTATCATTAATGTGACAATGTCAACATCCTGCATAAGTTCAAGTGTCCTGTCAGGTTATAAAGAACAGAAGGATACACAGTGCAGTTTCTTTGTTTTGGCATCAAAATTCTTGCAGCTCTACGGACTACATCTTGACAAAAAAACTTGTGTTACTTTGGTCTATTCTACACATCATTCCCCATCACCATTGATAAATTGTTGCTATGACTCCTGTGCAGACTAAAATCAGCTGATAAATGTTGCAATGGAGCTCGTCCAATGTAGGCTAACAAAAAAATTAGCCAGGAGGACTGAGTAGTTGCTGGATTTCTCTGTCCTATTGCTAACATAGTGCCAAAATAAACTCTGCTGTTAAGTTAACCTACCTGTCCAGCAGAAAGCATGAAACCTCCACGTCTAGTTTGAACCCCCAACTCCTCATGAGTTGCTTCCATCTGGTTAAAGCTATGTCAATATGGACTCTGTTCCTGTCTTAGTTATTGTTTCTTTTTCTTTTGTTGGTCAATTTCTCTTCCCTCTCGCTGAGTAAATACACATGTGGGCAAAATTATTGGTGTCTTTTGTTTAATGAAAACACAATGGTTCTAGAAATAACTTTAATCTGACAAAAGCAATAAATAACTATTCTATGGAAATGAACAAATTAATTCAGACATAACCTTAAAAATCATTAAAATTCATTAAAATATCATTTTTTATCATTTTTAAATTAAGGCCTTAATTGGTATAAAAATTCATTAAATGGGATTATCATGGCATTTAAAATGCTTTATGAAAATATATATAACAGATATATAATATTGCGATATATTTGCGCGGAACCGCTTCCGGTTGATCGTGAAGCCGTATGTTCAGAAAAGAAACCTGAGGTGAGGAGAAGGCTAGAAAATGGGAAGATGTACATTTCAACAAACGTGGCTGGAAAACGTGGTATTTGTGACATGGCTGAAGCCTGTCAATGTAAAGATTAGAAAGGATTTTGAAGTGTTTTTTATATATATATATATATATATATATATATATATATATATATATATATATATATATATATATATATATATATATATATATATATATATATATATATATATATATATATATATATATATATACAGTATATGGGAGTCATGTTTACTTGTTGATGGCATTAAAACCATTTCTAAGAGCATTAAAAGAGTATTAAAAAGCATTAAATTAGAGTTACTTATTCCTGTATAAACCCTGTTATATGGCCTTATAGCTGCTGGGAGGAAGGATCTGTGATAACGGTCCCTGGTGCATTTAGGGTGCAACAGTCTGTCACTGAAGGAGCTCTCCAGTTCTGTTGCAGCTTCTTGCATGGGGAGACATTATCCAACAGATGTTCATTTAGTTAGGATCCTTTTGTTTCTCACCTCCTGCACTCCAGAGGGCATCCAATTACAGAGAAATCAAAATAAATATATTTCAAAACAAAAAAAAAAAAAAACAATCCACTGGACTTTGTTTCCAAATTTGAAGATATTTCGCTTCCCATCCAGGAAGCTTTTTCAATTCAAAATGTCAGAAATAGCGTTGAGTTCAAGGCTTAATAGAGTGGACCAAAAACATGCAATTTTGAATTAACATTTGCATCCTGGATTTGAATCAAGACGTCTTCAAACAAAGTCCAGTGGATTGCTTTTTAACATTTTTGGAATTACCAAGACCTGGATGACTGAGAATCTTCACCAGAAAAATAAATATAATTTATATTATAGTATTTTCTCAAACATTTGAATCGAAAATTGCCTATAAACTAAGAGAAATGTAAAAATAATGGGAAACTGTTCAATCTTTTTCTCCTGCACCAGGTGATCCGAGCGCTGGGAGGAGGGAATGGGGAGAAGAGGAGAGGAGGCCTTCATCTAGCCAGGCCCAAGTCTCCCAACATGCAGGAGCTGAAGAGAAGGTTCAGACAGGTCCTCTCCTCCAAAGTAAAGTCAGCTACAACTATATGATCCTGAAGCACACAGAGGCAATATCAAAGCCTTCTGTCCAAATTAAAAGATGGAAGAAAAATCACAAGAGGAGATAATGAAGAGCCATGACCTCCAGGTTTCATGTCTGAAGCGTTACATGAAAACTACCGAGATGCTCTAAGGGGATCAAAGCCTTTCAAAGAGCACAATATGTCTCTCTTCTGATGAACAGATAAAGGCAGAGACTGACTTTGACTTAGCTTCCTGGCTCTCCAGCTCCTCTGAAGGAGAATCCTGGTCAGAAGCACTTCCTTCCTGGGATCAACAAAGACACATCTCAAGGACAATTGATTAGACGGTTCTTTTCCTGTTTTCATGAGAGTGGAAATGACAAGTCTTTAACCCAAAGTAATTAAAACTCTTAAGAATTTAAATAGAGAGATGGATTCTTATTTCTACTGGTAATGCTTTGTCAAAGAAACATTAAAGATGTGCTCTTTTCTTAAACAGCTGACATAAATCAGTATGGCAAAGACAACATTTAGCAGACAAAAAAAAATGTCTTCATCACATTCCTATTAAGAATATATTTTAAACAAAAACAGGAAATGACCCCAAAACGCTCGAGTTCAGGGCTATATGCTGAGACAAATAGTGACCTATGGCCGAGGACGGAAATCCTCTTATTCCAAAGTGAAGAGAAAATTCCTTTTCTCTAATGATGCTTTGGGCTCACATATATAGAAGAATGATGAATAAAACCGGTTTAAAAGTGTTAAAACAGGAACTTAAGTTCAGCATTTTGTTCTTGTAGATTTCATATCATATTTCAGAGTAAAACTAAGAATGATATAATTATAATGCATTTTATAAGTATATAAATAAAAACAGCAAAACTTTAAATATGGAGATAACGTACTAAATTATTCTATTTGGTTAATTTTCAATAAAACCCAAAATGGTCACAGAAATAACTTGAATCTGAATTCATGAAAACGAACAATAAAAAAACAGACGTTGATTTTTTTTAACCAAGCTTCAAAAGAATTATTTAAAAAAATAAACTCATGAAACAGACCTGCACAAAAAACATTGTACCCCTAGAAAAGACAAAAAAATCTTAATAAATCAAGGTATCTCCACTAACTAGCATCACAGGTGTCTACTACCTTGAATCAGTCAGAAGCATATATGTAGAGGGAAAAATTGAAGTTTGGACTCATAATGACCACAAAGTTGCATAGTCCCGCAAGTTGCATATATTTATAAGTATGTCTAAAAATGTATATTCTATTAAATATACTATTATCGTTCAACAAATAATTTTGTCTCTAATTGGATATAAAAAAGGCATCCATCTGCTTTTCTTCCAAGATCCCTGATAAAACAGTCATCCACTGTATGATCATTCCCTTACCTCTAAAGTGTGTGAACTTTAGCATTGATCAGGGGTCTGCAATCTGTGCCTCTGGGGCCGCATGTGCCTGTTGGACCCTTCATGTCAGCTGGTTTGTAGTTTTTTGATCCAAGTGCATGATTACATGGACAACGAGTACATTTTAATGTTTTATTTACAAAAGCAATAAGAATCTGGAAGCGAATAACTGAAGGGAGTCAGTTGAATTTTCTGGTCTATCTGAGGGGAGAAAGCAGCCTGATCGGGAAGGAGCTGGTTGATGACAACTGATGAGTGATTGATTTGCTTAATTGAGAGATACGGTGGAGGTAGCATGGATCTGTGGGGGTTTGATTCAGCAGACTTAGCAGACTGTACCCTAGAAGTCCAGGAGAACGTGAGTGAGATCCGAGAGTTTGTATTTGCCAGAGACGATTGCTAGAGAAATGGCAGGCAGATGATAAAGGCTGAGAAATGCTGCAAACAGGTGAGAAGTTTTCCATGAAGATCGGAGACGAATTGAGGTTCACTTGTTGTCTGGAACACTAACATACAGACATGGGCAATGTGGAGTCAACAAGTCATCTCCATGTCATGTATTGGTTCTACCCAGCCACTGAAGCAGGTGAGTCCAATCTTCACCGTGAATTAACCTGTGCAGATTGGACTCACCTGGTTAATTGCCTGGGTAGAACCAATACATGACATGGAAATGACTTGTTGACTCCACATTGCCCATGTCTGCTAACATATTTCCCAGTAAAGAGATTTACAAGAAGAAAATTTTCACAAGAAATATATTCCTGGTTAGGGTTAGGGTTATGCTTGTTATCTGGATTGAGAAATTTTCTCAGGTGTGCAGCAACACGGGTCTGTCCAGCCACCAGCAAAGATCCTCTCTGTGACAGGAAGCTCACCCACAGCAGAAAAGCAGAAAAACCCAGAGACCCTAAAACTTCAAAAATGATATAAAGAACTAACTAATATAGAATAATAAGAAATATCAGTCTTAAAAGCTTTGTTTTACAAAGAATGTATGAATCACATTTTCACAATAGAATGACATTTAAAACAACCAGAAAGCTACTTTTAATTAAATTAGTTTGGAAATTATGTGTTTTATTTATTTTTCTTTTTACATGAAATAATAATAATATAGAAGAAAATGCATGATTCATCTCTATGAAGCTTTTTGTTTTTAATTTTTCTTAATAGCTAAAAATAGAAAGAAACTTTTGGTTGTTTATGGTGGCAACAAATTTGCTATGGAAGATATAAAAAATACTGGGTTGTGTTTTAAAAGTCATGTAATATATTGTGGCTCTAAATGACTTAAACCTAGCCGGACTTGGGGCAAAATGGCTGTTTGGATATGAAAGGTTGCAGACCCCTGGTGTAGATTCAGGTGGTCTTTATATCCCGAGGCTCCAAACATGTTTCTCATTGAAAGAAGCAGTCCAGTCATCAGACACTGAAATCCATCTTTTTACCACAGCAGAATTAACATTACATTTATAGATAAAGTTAGTGACTTTTGTACATTTTTCCCTACACAGCTTTGCTGCCCGTATTCCCAAAATATAAGGCTGTGCTCATTTGTATGTTAGTTAAAATCCTTTCATCTACTTGTTTGCATAATTAATAGTGTTGCGCCGATGCCATTTTTTTGGCCCCGATACCTGGCTGTGCGTTATTGGCCGATACCGATACTATCTGTTTGAAATTTCCATCATGGCTTTGTCAAGCTGCTGCCTACCTTTGTGAAGCAGGAAAAAGACTGATACAAAGGGAATCCAGTAGAACTTTTTATTGCCTACCTGGAATGGGTGACAATAGTTGAATTTACTTTTGGCTCTCAAAATGATATCGGTGCCCTAATTGTTGGTACTCACCAATACTGATAACATCATTTTAGTGCTGGATCGGGGCCCCGCCTGATACTGGTATCGGTATCGCTGCTACACTAATGATTAGATGTGTGCATTTTGACGGTCGACTTCAGCACTTTCAAACAAACTTTGACTCACTTCATAACAATGACATTTTTCAAAACTACTGTCTCAGCATCCGGGGAGAGTATAGTGACTCCATTTGCCACAGGTTTCATACAAATGCAATAACTTAACAGGGGGTCTGCGACCCCCTAGGTGGTTCAAGGAGGTATTGCATGGGGGTCACAAAAGTTTTGGCTGGACAGGGCCATAGAAGGTCTACAACCCATCAGCAGGACCGGTATCTGCTCCACTGCTGTGAATGTCTCTGACCAAACAATCTTCACAAGGGTGGCCTGAGGGCCCAACGTCCTCTAGTGGGCCCTGTGCTTACTGCCATCCACCGTGGAGCTTGATTGGCATTTGCAGAATTGGCAAGTCGGCCACTGGCGCCCTGTGCTTTTCACAGATGAGAGCAGGTTCACCCTGAGCACATGTGACAGACGTGAAAGGGTTTGGAGAAGCCGTGGAGAACGTTATGCTGCCTGTAACGTCGTTCAGCATGACCGGTTTGGTGGTGGGTCGGTGATGGTCTGGGGAGGCATATCCATGGAGGGATGCACAGACCTATACAGGCTAGACAACGGCACCCTGACCGCAATTAGGTATCGGGATGAAATCCTTGCACCCATTGTCAGACCCTATGCTGGTGCAGTGGGTCCTGGGTTCCACCTGGTGCACAACAATGCCCGGCCTCATGTGGTGAGAGTATGCAGGCAGTTCCTGGAGGATGAAGGAATTGATACCATTGATTGGCCCCCACGCTCACCTGATCTAAATCCAATAGAACACTTCTTGGACATTATGTTTCGATCCCTCTGACTCCGCCAGGTTGCACCTCAGACTGTCCAGGAGCTTAGTGATGCCCTTGCCCAGATCTGGGAGGAGATACCCCAGGACGCCATCCGTCGTCTCATTAAAAGCATGCCCCGACGTTGTCAGGCATGCATACACGCACGTGGGGGGCCATACAAATTACTGAATACCATTTTGAGTTGCTGCAATGAAATTTCAGCAAAAGGGACTACCCTGCCACAACATTTTTTCACTGTAATTGTTGGGGTGTCTTTGGATTCAGCCCTCTGTAGGTTGATAATTTTAATTTCCATCAAATGATGTGGTATCTTTTTGTTCCTAACACATCACCCAGTCCAAAAAGTATAAACAAACAGCATGATTTTTTTTGCCCTATTGAGATCTGATGTGTTTTCAAAGTGTTCCTTTTATTTTTTTGAGCACTGCATATAATTAGGGGGTCCCCCGCTCCATCTTGCCATCAGTTTGGGGGTCCTTGGCTTGCAAAAATTTGAAGACCCCTGCTCGAGGGAAACATTATTAATGTGTTAGCATTATCCCCATAAAATAGTTTATGCTTGAGAATCATGACTCAGTTTGAAGCAACCGTGTGTGTTTCTTGTAGTGTGTGTGTGTGTGTGTGTGTTTTCCACTGTTCTCATGACCTCTCCTGTTGCTAAAACACTCAGAATTCCAAGCAAAGACAGATTCCACGGCATCTGGAATTTCTTTTTGGCTCATTGAGCCACCAGGCTTCACACACACACACCCAGTATAAAATGTTTGCTGACCCAAACTTTAACCCCATCGCTCTCTGACCTTTAGAATCCGCAGGACTCCATCAAATTTAAGAAAAAACTCTTTCATGCCCTTAGTTGCCATTAAAAAAATGCAGAGTTGTGTTTGAGTTCTTGAGTCATAGTGTGACGACCTTAACCAGAACATAAATCATTACTTTTTTTATGTGAACTTTTCAGGCTGATAGTAAAAGTAGATGAAAGTTCAAATGACAAAATACTTTGTCCTTTAAAACTATGGAAATATTCCGACATTGTCTGAGAAAAAATATTAGAATTTTTTTTTTTATCAATGTCTAGTAAAATCCTGTTGCTTGCTTTCAGTTGAGTTCTTTCCTCTTTCTTCCTCGTTACTAGATACACACACATAAGCAGACACAGTGATCTCTAAAATCTTCTTCCTGCGTGCCGCTGTGCCACAGAGTTGGCTTCGATAGATAAAGAGGAAACTTTTG